TTTGCAAAAGAACAAAAAAATTTAATTGCTGAATTCCACTAATTGTACAATTATAAAATATAGTTTCAAGGCGCTTCGCGCCTCTTTTTTTATTAATAATCTTTGCTTTTTTATTTTTTTCACATCTTTGGCCTCTCTTCTTAGTACAAAAAAAAACAATGATACTAAAAATTTCGCTAATGTTTCTGTTTTTATTGGAGAACTTTTATACTTTTCATTTCTTAAATTGTGCCCCTTCGATTCGGCCTTTTGGCGTCTATAGGGTCCAATTTCTTTGTAATAGTGCGGTGGGGTTTGTGTATTTAGGTATTCAGGTAATTAGAGATTCAAGTATCGATGCGAAAACTGTTTGCATATATCAACAAATCTTCATTATCAAATATTAGTTCATTATTTGTAAATTCAGTTAATCATCTAATGCATCTTAATGACAAATCAAATTTTCTGACACTTTGTATAAAGATGTCTCTAAACCTCTCACTCTCGACATTCGAAATGACGCAATTTTTCTAAGCTTCTTCTTGGACCGGTTTTAATGAAGTAGAAAGGTCGGCACCGGTTAAAATCCTAAATCATGGATTCAAATCCCCTTGAATCTTTAACTTTGAATTGGTGATTCAGGATTTGAGCCGGTGGTAGGTAATTCAGTGACCTCTCCACTTCATTAAATTCGGTCCCTGTCTACTAAATAGTAAACTTGTAATGTTTATTATGAAGAACGGCATTGAATGAAACGAATATTGCTGATTTAGTTGTATTCCCATGAGCTGTATTCCCATGAGTTGTATTCCCATGAGCTGTATTCCCATGAGTTGTATTCCCATGAGCTGTATTCCCATGAGCTGTATTCCCATGAGTTGTATTCCCATGAGTTGTATTCCCATGAGCTGTATTCCCATGAGTTGTATGTATTCCCATGAGTTGTATTCCCATGAGCTGTATTCCCATGAGTTGTATTCCCATGAGCTGTATTCCCATGAGCTTAATAAACTATTTCTGTATTACTCTGTTTACACAAGAGCACGGTATATCCGTATAAAAAGTAAAATTGACTTAGCTTTTTCTAGATATATATACTTGATATATATATTTACTGATTACTCTTTCATGTTGTATAAAGTAATTGGTTTAAGGTCAAACAAGGTTAAAGTAAGGTTTTAAAAAGATTATTTTATGAGGTTTTCACGGTTATTTTCTATAAAATTGCTAAAAAAGTTTCATTCTGAGTTTTCACCCTTAAATTATGTTTTCCATAAAATCCTTTTAGCTTTTACAGGACAACTATAAGGGAGCGTTCATATATTTGGTTTATGTTTAATGTGTTTAACAGAGAATTCGAGTCATGCTTTTTTTCATTTTTCAAAGAACCAAAAAATTGCGAAGCATTTGGAAACTTTCAAGTATTACTAAAAACAGACTTACTGAATGAAAGCATTGCACATATACATTACAATTTAAATAAACAATTAGATAAATAAATATTTCGCATTTTTAACAAAAGTTACAAAAGTCACAGGGGGTGGGAGAAATTTAGGGTGGGGAAGTATGCAGAGATGGGGGGAGTATGCAGGGGTGGGGAATAACTGCATAACAAGGTATAGAGGGGGTTGGTTGGAGTATTTCATGGTTTCTCCGATTTCCAAGTTTGTCATATTCTCTAGTTTTCTACAAACCTTCTTCCTGTACTGTAGTCAGGAAACAATTAGCATGGATAATTTAGAGATGGATACTTTATTCCAGAATGCTTTATTCCAGAATACTTTATTACAGGATACGATAAAGCAGGATACTTTATCCCAGAATAAAGTGCTCAAAGTGCAGGATACTTTAGTGCAGGATACTTTATTCCAGTATACTTTAGTGCAGGATACTTTAGTGCAGGATATTTTATTCCAGAATACCTTAGTGCAGGATACTTTAGTGGAGGATACTTTAGTGCAGGATACTCTATTCCAAAATACTTTAGTGAAGGATACTTTAAAGCAGGATACTTTATTTCAGGATACTTTAGTGCAGGATACTTTATAGCAGGATATTTTATTTCAGAATACTTTAGTGAAGGATACTTTAGAGCAGGATAGTTTATTCCAGAATTCTTTAGTGCAGAATACTTAGTTTATTCCAGAATACTTTAGTACAGGATACGATAAAGCAGGATACTTTATTCCAGAATAAAGTTCTCAAAGTGCAGGATACTTTAGTGCAGGATACTTTATTCCAGAATACTTTAGTGCAGGATATTTTATTCCAGAATACTTTGCAGGATACTTTAGTGGAGGATACTTTAATGCAGGATACTTTAGAGCAGGATATTTTATTTCAGAATACTTTAGTGCAGGATACTTTAGAGCAGGATACTTTATTCCAGAATACTTTAGTGCAGAATACTTTAGTGTAGGATAGTTTATTCCAGAAAAATTAAGTGCAGGATACTTTATTCCAAAATACTTTAGTGCAGGATACTTTGTTCCAGAATACTTTAGTGCAAGATACTTTAGTGCAGGATACTTTATTCCAGAATACTTTAGTGCAGGATACTTTATTCCAGAATACTTAAGTGCAGGATACTTTAGTGCAGGATACTTTATTTCCAGAATACTTTAGTGCAAGATACTTTAGTGCAGGATACTTTATTCCAGAGCACTTTAGTGCAGGATACTTTAGTGCAGGATACTTTATTCGAGACTACTTTATTCCAGAATACTTTAGTGCAGGATACTTTAGAGCAGAATACTTTAGTACAGGATACTTTATTTCAGAATACTTTAATGCAGAATACTTTAGAGCAGGATACTTTATTCCAGGATACCTTACTGCAGGATACTTTAGTGCAGGATATTTTATCTCAGAATACTTTAGTGCAGGATACTTTATTCCAGAATACTTTAGTGCAGGATACTTTAGAGCAGGATAATTTATCCCAGGATACTTTAGTGCATGATACTTTAGAGCAGGATACTTTTTTCCAGAATACTTTAGTGCAGGATACTTTAGAGCAGTATACTTCAGTGCAGGATACTTTAGAGAAGGATACTTTATTCCAGAATACTTTAGTCAGGATACTTAAGAGCAGGATACTTTATTCCAGGATAATTTAGTGCAGGATACTTTAGAGCAGGATACGTTATTTCAGAATACTTTAGGGCAGGATACTTTAGAGCAGAAAACTTAATTCCAGAATACTTTAGTGCAGGATACTTTAGAGCAGGATACTTTATTCCGGGATACTTTAATGAAGGATACTTTAAAGCAGGATACTTTTGTGTAGGAAACTTAAAAGCAGGATACTTAGTGCAGGATACTTTTGCGCAGGATACTTTAGAGTAGGTTACTTTAGTGTAGGATACTTTAGAGCGTGATTCTTTAAAGTAGGATACTTTAGTGTAGAATACTTATACAGGATTCTTTAAACTATATAGAATACTTTAAAGTACTATGTAGAATACTTTAGAGTACTATATAGAACACTTTAAACTTTACAGGTAAATTATACTGCACAGAATACTTCACACACTACAAAAGATACCTTACAATTTACAGAATACTTTACAATTTACAGGATACTTACACTATACAGGATACTTTACACTATACAGAATACTTTACACTATACCGGATACTTATCACTGAGACTGTACAGGATATTTATACGGGATACTTTACACTTTACATGATATTTTACGATTTACAGGATACTTATGCAGGAAACTTTACACTTTACATGATACTTTACACTTTATAGGATAATTTACAATTTACAGGATAATGAACACTGTACATGATACTTTACACTATACAGGATACTTTACACTATACAGGATACTTTACACTTTACAGGATACTTTACACTATACAGGATACTTTACACTATACAAAAACTTTACATTATACTGGAGACTTTATACTATTTAGGATACATTTCAATGTACATGACACTTTAAACTTTACAGGATACTTTACACTGTGGAGGATTCTTTTATTTCAAAGTATATGATACTATAGGATACTACAGGATACTGTAGTATATCTAATATGCAATGCAGCAAATTTGTTGGTAAATATTCTGCCTAAATTAATTTAAATTTTTCAACAATATAATTTGTAAAAATGTTCTTGTAAAATCTGAATTTTGGGGGGTTAAAGGTAAATTATAGTAGTGTGCACTTTTAGGCAGTTAAACTTTGGATCCGCTATTGCTGAAAGATTTATTTACAAAGACAAGGAAATTTTTGAACCGGGATTTTTAGCCGAAAAATATGATGTGATGGGATTTTTGGGCCTTTAAATAAAGATCTTGCATTAGTATTAAAAATTGTATTGTCAATATTAAAACTTCTGCCAGAAAACAAAATGATTTTTATGGAAGAATACATTTTCTGTTTTCTTTTTTAAAAGCTATGAATATAATCGTTTTGTTTTCCTCATCCCGGTACAAAGTCACAGTAAACTCGGTTCCAAAGGACTTGAGTTTTTGCCACAAACTCTGATTTTATATTCCGTAAATCTTTGTAACCCAATGTTGGGGTCCCTAGATATTTCAAACTGTGAATTCTGCTAGAACAAATAATCTAAGTTTGAATTATTAAAGAGTTACACCATCAGGTTGCAAAGATATAAGAATTAGTGTATTTAAGTTTGTGGCAAAGACTTAATTCCTTTTGCCTGAAATGAACAAGGTTTCTCTGGCTACGAGGATTTTTAAAGAAGAATAAATGACCCTTCATTATACCAATTACAGTCGTTTTATTGCTGGAAATATTGGTTTGCTTTCATACTTCATGATGTAGGATCTTATTCCTTGATTGTCTAGTTACACAAAATCCTTTGACGCTTTTTTTTGCAAAAAAAAACTTTTTCATGATTTTATATTTAAAACAATCTAAAAACTTATTACCTTTTTCTCTTTAAATCTTCTAAACATGATTTTTCTTTAATTACAAAAAATCTTCAGTTTGAGAAAAATACTTTCTTTTCTTATAAATATTCAGATTCATAATCCTATTTTTTTTAAAGAAAGTAAAATGAATATTTGAAGATGTTAAAACCCCCTCTCCAGTATTCTATGTGGGGTGGAGCAGGACCTAGGTTTGGAGAATCAGGACCCAGGTAATTATAAGGATCATACCATTTCTAATTTTCAATTAAGTTTTCCCCCGGATCATCAAAAATAATTTTTTCCTCCAGAAGTTAGGTATGTTTGCGCATAGTGCCAAAAAATGTTTAGGGTTTTATTTGCAAGGGGTAACGTAGCTGAGCCGAGAGTGCAGTATTATAAATAGTACTGCACTATCAGTTCAAATATGTTACCTTACCGGTTTCTCTCTTTAATTGTTTGGGTAAATAGTATCAAAAAAGATCAAAAAACTTTCCTTTTCAAGTCCAATATATGCTTAGCTAACAAAGAAAGCTCAGGAGACATATTTATTATACTCTTACAGGGTAGAATCATAAAAGTCACTGCGCTAAGCAGGGTTTGAAAACTCTAAGGATATCCATTGTCAGAATTCCGCCTTAACAATGACAAATGTGATAAGAAAGGTTAGGAAAGGAAAGGATATTTTCAACAAAAGTTTATCTTGGACAGTGCTTCTTTTCCTCGCAGTTGGCAGAGTATAAACCAGTATCACAGTGCTTGGTGCGCAACCTTTCAGGATTCTACTTTATTTTTCTTGTTTCTGGCAAGAGGGTGGGGGATGAAAGAGAGGGAGAAACCCTTCCTTCTCTCCACTATTATTTTCTTTTTTCCCAAGAAGGGTGTATACTGCCATGTTATTCCACACAGGTTCTGTTTAGCCACAAGAAACTTGAAACCATGACTGTTCTGAGCTTCCTTGATGCTTACACATAGACCCAGATTCAATAGAAAGAATTAACGTCTTTCCGACGAGTTCGGATACTTAATAACAGCTAATCAGGCTTGTTATTTAAAGCTGCCAGGAGCAAAATCTGGATCCAGTTAAGTAGGAAACCTCCATTCTCCAGGACAATACAGCATTAACAGATTTATGCAGGCCTTCAATGTTTCTTGTAGTTCCGTATTTCTCTTTTCCATTTGTGAGCAGGGGTGTATACCCCCCTATACACCCCTGGCTAAAGTTTCTTTAGTGTGCCATATCTCTCTCTCACACACTGTACCTCTGAATTAAGAAGCGCCTCTCAAGACCTAGTTGTTGCTTCTGTGAAAGCTGAATGTACGCTGAAAAAAAATCTTGTTAAATATGCATGACCAAGTATGACATGGAGACTTTAAATAAACATCTTGATTTTTCTTTCTTGTAAAAGCAAATTGTTCTCAATAGGGAAGGCACTGTAAACTATAGACAAACGGAAAAAATCAAATTCACGCAATATATTACTAGTACGACTTTGTGACCTCGTAGCTTCTCTAGTATTCATTTTACGCACACGTGAGAAAAACAGAGGAATTGAGTCTATGGAACAAAATCAAATATTTAAACCTCAATATCTTAGGAACCCGAAGTTGTAAACCTTTGATATTTTAAACTCAGATTATTTGATCTAACAGAATATTCACAGTTTGAAATATCTAAGGTCTCCAACATTTGGTTCCAAAGATATAGTGATTATAAAATCAGACTTTGTGGCAAAACCTCAATTCTTTTATTTGTTTACATTTTACATGTAAAAAATTCAAATCATGCTCGTTCACTCAATACCTCTTTAATTACGTTTATTACGTGCAATTTACTTAAGTTTAGCAGAAGGGGGGGGGGGCAATTTCTATTTATCATCTATTAATTCTGCTCGAAAGTTGTTGCCAAACATGGAAACTTATGGATTCTTCAGAAACCTGAAAAGTATTATTACCCTAAGTTCAATCATTTGGTATTTCCCTATTGTGTAATTAGGTCCTTAGGATAATGGTAGAACAAAAATAGAAACAATCTCGTCTATAAATAAATAAAATTGGCCGGCAGTGGCCGGAGGGGGATATTCTCCCCTGATAATTCAAAACAAACTAGAATTATCCGGGTCTAAAAATACTACATGGTGAGCGTATCTATGATTAAATACGCCAAAGACCAGTTCATGACCCCAGGGAAGGTTTATAAATGCTCAGAGTTTTAAAAATTTGTCTCCAAACCTTTTGATTTACGTAAAATTTTTAAAAACCACGAAAAAAAAATGTAAATCCGCGAATTTTTTTTTCATTCTTTATGGAAGAGAAAATGCTGATAGCTTAAGCATCAATTAAAATTTGAAATAATAGATGAGTGCAAAGCACCCTGATGGTCTAGTATTTTTCATTTATATAAAGTTTAAACATACAAAACATCTATATGGTAGAAACTTTTTGTGAATGTAAAACATTAACTTATGTATACAACAATTCAACGATATTTCAAAATAAGTTTGAAAAATTAAACCATTTTTGTATTTTTTGCCCCCCCCCCCCCCCTAGGAGCTTCGGGGGGGAATTTGAACTGTAGATTAAAAACATTTGGCTTCTTGGATATCAGGCATAAGTATAAGATACTTTAAAGGTACAAATACAGTCCAATTACCTTGCATGCACTATACTTTATCTCTCCTTCAAACAAAACTAGCAGAAAAAAAACATTGTTTATAAAAATCGACATTTTATTATACTGTTATGTTAGTAATAATTAGTATTTAAACTAGAGATAGTAAAAGACATTTTTGAAAATGAAAAATCCAACTTAAATTTAAATTCTTTGAGATGAAAAAAGGACAAAGGTCCGGAAAATAATTATGACTCGTAAAAGTTTCTGCTTTGAAAAAAAAGTAGGAGTACAAATACAATTTGAATTCTGCTCTTCGTTTATTTATATGTTTGCTATGGCTGGCCAAACGGCTGAATCAATTGGGCTGAATTTTAGTGAGGAAACTCATCGGTACCATTTAGGATGACATAAGCTAACTTAGTTATAAGTTTTTTGTTTTAATATGATTTCTAAAATTCCACGGGCAACGCCTGGCATTTCAGCCTGTTTGTAATAAAAAGAAAGATTACAAAACAGCGGAGCAATGTATGGATAAAGTAAATAAAATCCAAAAAAAAATAAAATTGGTCTTTTACTCAAACTTAAACCTTCGTGGCTTGGCATTTAAAAAATAATTGTTTTACTTCGCTATTCCTGATAGCGTCCATCCGATTAGGATTCTAAATATATTTTTCATTCGGACTTCTGTCATGGTGGAGGTGGCTCTGGTCCATGTATCCAATCTTCTTAGTGCACTGAATGAACAGCAAACTAATTTTTTTATGTTCTTCACTCTTGAGTTTAAGATTTAAAAGTGTGAAAGCTCTGAGTTCTAAGGGGGCACTTCCCCCTTGCCTCCCCCTTTATACGCTCTTGCCGGGTTTGTAAATATTACTTTCTAATAATTATTGTTTTGTTACTTTTGTTATAAGAAAGAAGAGTACATACTTTTTAATATATTAATACTTTTAGCAAAGTTTACTAACAATAAACTTATAGGAACCGCAATATAATGCAATATAATAATAGTAATAATATTTATTTTAAACAAAAACCACAAAACAAAACATAGTACACACTATATATGTATGTAAAAATGTCTAAGAACCACAAAAAAGAATTTTTAAAACAATTATTTTGACATGTTTACAAAATGTATTTCTTACACAAATTTTAATGTAGCTGTTTCAAATGAGTTTCATTTAATCATAATATTGATGAAAAAAGTAGTAAAAAAAAGTAAAATTTTGAAATTCATTGAATCCAGCTTGAATGTTCGAGATAAATCAAGTGGCAGAATTATTCTTTTGAATAGACAGAAGGGACTGAAGTTGAAAAGTGAGCTAGCTTGGATACGGGCATGTTATCTGATCAATAATGTGCTTGATAACTTTGTTTTTCCAACAGAAACGCGCAATTCACTCGAGCAGAGTAACCCCAATTGAAAATAAACAGTTATACTCATGGCTGTCTAATTCATACTTGACCAAACAAAGTCTTTAAGGGTATTTTTGTTAATCGGTCCCTTGAAATTATGTTTACAATCCCTTTAATCAGGTATAGTTCATATATATATATAGGAAAAACAGTTATTTCCCAGTACTTTACCAAATCTAGAAGAGCATGTAATATTGTTTAAGGTATTTACTACCTTTACTACTTTCCATTTATGGCAAAATATATTTCTAAGTTTCTCCAAATGTTAGAAATCATGCAAGGTTAGAACAGGATTATGCATAACAGAACCTTCTTTATAAAGATTAAAGTGAAAATAATAATAATAATGATTATAATAACTCCTTAAAGGGGTAGTTGAACTGAGAATGTAGTATCGTGAAGAAATATTTTAGGAATCAATTGAGAACTATGAGGTCGGTGTTAGGTACTTTCGCGAAGGCATTTTCCCAAGGGCGACTTCCCAAGTGACAAAATCCCAAGTGGCAACTTCCCAAATGTGCAATTTCCCATGCAGTAACTTCAAAAAGGTTAGATTAGGCCCTCTGAGGCGCTGCAGGCTGCAATGGGGGCAAAGCGCTGCGGCTAGGACAGACTTAGGAAATTACACAGTTGGGAAGTTGCCACTTGGGAAAAATCCTTTGGAAAAATTCCTAACATCGTTTATATACGATGCATATTTGTTCAGCAAGAGCGCAAATTCAATCTTTAAAATCCTCATAGATTGTTAATTTTTATAGGAAAATTTTGAGAATTGGTTAAAAAAAATTATTCAATAACGATGGCGAAAAATGTAGTAAAAATTCTACAGTAAACTAATAAGTTGTTTAGGAACAGGTTGAGAAAATAAAAAAATAACTATTATCATTGAAAATAAATAAACTTATTCAGTTATTGGTTTCTGAAATGTCTCATTGTTAGCAAAACTTTTCCGTAGATGTCCTGGAATTTTTATTCAAAAGATGACATTTAAAGAATTTGAAGAAATCTGCGAACAAATTCATAAAAGTAATACATAAGAGAAACTGGCAGATGTTTTAAAGAGATGTTTAGAGAACATGCAGGATATGTCAGAAGTTGTCACCTTACTCAACAGACTGGCCAACATATTAATCTTTATAGTCACTCTGTAAACTAAACTATCAAACTACTTACAGGAAACTCGGGAGTCATACTTTATTAATAAGTTCAATACACTAACCAAGGGAATGATTAAGAAGAGAGATAGATTAAACCTTATGTATGAATTTGTTCTTTTTATTTAATTTTGATGGAATTTATCACACCTAATATTTCCCGTTGTAGGGTGATTAAGTGACTATCGCCCTACAACAGGGCGAAAAAGTAACTTTTTCACCCTGCTATTAAAATTTTAAATTTCATACCTAATTTGTCTCATTGTAGGGTGATAAAGTTACTTAATCAACCTACAACAGGGTGATTAAGTAACTTTATCGACCTGCTTGTAAATAATTTGAGTAAAACTGAATAAACTTTTTTCGCACTTAATAATACCCATTGAAATGACATAAATAGATATTATGATTGTTTTCGTTTTCTTTCTTTGACTTTTGTAGTTTTTCCACTCCTGATTTGTGTTTACTATTGTTACTTTATAATCATGGCTTTTACCGTTCTGTTTTAGTACACTTCTATTGTTCTAGTCTTAATTTGTAGTCTTTCCGTTATGTTTGAAAATTAAAATTCTTTTTTAAAAATCTTTAACATTCTCAACCATTCATGTTTCGAAACTCCCCATCCCCTCAGTTCTCAACAAAATCTAGTTTTATTTGGCAGTTCAAATAAAACTTTTCAATAATTTGTTCTTTTCTCATAAATACTTAGTTTTATTTAAAATTCGGTGATGGTGATGGACCAAACCTTTGTGGAGTAAAAAAAGTAGATGTTAGTTCCACATTTATTGAAAATATATTTCGGTCTGGGTTGACCCTCGTCAGTTTTTGAGATTGTTTCTGTCACAAAGATTAAAAACAAACTTAGTTTTATTTTATTTCATAAATTTTGTTCTAATTGCCTATTCATTTACTTTATATTTTATTGGTCAATCCTGTCCTATAGAACTGATGATGTTGTAAAACATCGAAATATATTTCCTACTTAGAAGTTGTGCATTTTACAGATAGAGAACACTTTTAACCAATTCAGATTTTTACAAATTCATAAAGAATAAGAAATTCAATATAATAACGAAAAAGAAATAATTGAATCTAACATTTGTCGACAAAATTTCAATTTAGAAATATGTTCCTAAACATCTAACGTATAACCACCAATATGGATGATTTTGAACGTCAACTTTACTGAGCGTATTTATACATCATAAACATGTTTTATAGGTCTCAAATGAATCTTAAAAAATTCCTCCACAAAAACTTCATTCTGAGTTCAACTTCCATACATTGCCGGTTAATTCCGTCAAACATTTTGATATTTATTGGATCAATGAATCATGAATTATTTTTGTTATATTTTTGAGAAAGAAAGAAAGCAACCGGAAGTGTATTTCCTAGAGTATTTCAGTTTTGTCACTATTTTCTGAGCAAAGTTTGCTGTCACGGGAAAAGTCTAAAATCCGGCAAATTCTGTTTTCAAGGATAAAACAAATAATTTAGGAGTGTTTCTTGTTTCTTTGATCAAAAAAATTAAATTTTTGGTTGTTTTATCAAATAAAATTTTTAAAAAAGTTATTCATGTTTGGGAAAGAGCTTTGACTAATTTATTTAAACTTACGCCATGTTATTCGGTATGAGACGTCTTTAACAATTTTCTCCTTATAGACGCAACAGATAGAAGTAAGATTAGTAGCGATCAAAAGCGCTTTTTTGATCGCATTAAGCCTATACCCCCTTTCATTTTTCGCGAACACTCCCTTTATAGGAACTGTGCTACGTAACTGTAAGGACTGTAAGTGAGACATTAACTCCAAATTTCCTGACACTCTATTTTCAGCAAGTTTACGTCCTTAAAGGTTTAAAGGGTATCCGATTTTAATCATACATGTCACTCTAAAGATGGAGGGACACTTGAAATTACGTCTACACTGTAGAATTTACAATTTAATAACGGTCTGTGAAACTTCTCAATATATAAAGGGAAATAGATCCAGACAGTTATCTAAAGTTGAATAAATTTTCAAGTCTGGGTTAAATTAAAGTGCTTACACGCCTTGTTCTTTGATTTTATCTCACTACATAACTTTTTTTTAGCTTTGATGTTCAGAATTATTTTGCAAAACTCGATTTTTGTGTTAGAGCTTGCAACAATGGATCACTGCAGATCACTGTGTAGGTTTAACTCGGGTTTCTTACTTTTTTAATAATTACCTATGTAAGAAAAGGGAGTAAGTTTAGAGATGCAACAAACCATAAATTCAAGAAAAAGAAGTAAAAAATATCTGTGTAATAAAAAATGATGTGTGTGTATCTGTTTCAGGAATAAATGGTTTCACAAAGCTGCCCCAGATCCTACACTCACACGACAGATTGAACAGACACGCCAATTTGCCAGTACTCTTAGGAAGAGTGGAGAACAGAGACTTTGGAGCAGCAAATATCCAGCCAGGAAACCGAACAGGATGTATAGGTAAATATTCAGGAAACCAAACAGGATGTATAGGTAAATATTCAGGAAACAAAACAGGATGTATAGGTAAATATTCAGGAAACAAAACAGGATGTATAGGTAAATATTCAGGAAACAAAACAGGATGTATAGGTAAATATCCAGGAAACCAAACAGGATGTATAGTTAAATATTTAGGAAACCTAACAGGATGTATAGGTAAATATCCAAGAAACCAAACAGGATGTATGGGCAAATATACAGGAAACAAAACAGGATGTATAGGTAACTAAATATCCAGGAAACCATCCAGGATGTATGGGCAAATATACAGGAAACAAATAAGGATGTATAGTTAAATATTCAGGTAATCGTTTCCAGGAATCCTGTTTGGATAATTATGCAGGAAACAGAATTCAGGTTTTACAGGAAACCAAACAGGATGTATAAGTACGTATATATCTCGGAAAAAGAATTGGATATAAAGGTAAATATCCAGAGCTGAAAACTTTAGAATGATGGATATCGAGATCAATGCTTGATCCTGTCTTTTAAAATAATGCTTGTTCTCCTCTTGTTATAAATCTCCAGATAATTTAACCGATCGGGATTAAGGATATCCCATTCTCAAGTTTTTAGCTCAGGTAAAAGAATAATATTTATAAATATCCAGGATAAATAGGTATAAACTAAATATCCAGCGAGGAAACACAAAACTTCTCAACTAGATTTGTTTAGTCTAATAATATATTTCAAATAGAAAAAGTTCGCCTTGTTTTCTTTTTACAACTTAATATTTCGTAACATTGTTTATACCTGCAATCATACCGTCAACTTTATTAAAGTCATTAAAACAACAATTAAAAGTGTCTGACAAAATTCTGCTGAAAGAGTTGTTATAAAAGGAGTAACTATGTCTAAAAATAGGATTAGAATTATAGTTAGGCGCGTGTGCCGTGTACAGTATTTTAGCCAGGATATGTTGTAGAGTCCCAATTCAAGGACTATAATATACAGGGTGGCCAAAACTTTTTTGAACCCATCCGTACAAAAATCCGTACATTTTCAGAAGAAATCCGTACAATCCGTACAATTTTCGAAAAACAATCCGTACAATCCGTACAATTTTTTTTTAAAAAATCCGTACAATCCGTACATTTTTTTAAACCAATCCGTACATTTTTTTAAAGATCCGTACATTTTTTTTAAAAATCTGTACAATCAGCACAATTTTCGAAAAAAATCCCATTTTTGAAAAAAAAACATTAAAATTCAATTTTTCATTCATTGTCTTTTGTGTTCATTTCATGTAAGAGGGTTTAAACTTCTTCAGGAAGAATCAATCTGTAAAAAATTGGCTTCATACATATATACAAACTAAATACTGGGTACATGATGAAATGAGTGAAAATTAAAAAAAAACGGTGTATTTTCCAGGATAAAATCCGTACAATCCGTACAATTTGAAAACAAATCCGTACAATCCGTACAATTTTAGGGTTAAAAAAAATCAATCCGTACAATCCGTACAATCCGTACATTTTGGCCACCCTGTATATATTATAATGTATCCCTCTGTATAGTTCTGTATTACTCTCCAGAAGACTATAATTAGTCCTCGTCATTAATCTCCCTTAATCCTCTCCTAATGTAATCTCTCCTTGACCTTCATGGGGGACGCGGGAAGACATGCCAAACACTTGCATAATGCATAAAGCTATAATTGTTAATTAGTTGGGGAGAGGGGGGAATTTAGATAAAGGGAAATACTAAGGTAAAATTTTAAAATAAATGACGCGAAGTGCAAAGAAAATTTAAATACTTTTTAAGGGGGAAAACATCCATTTAAAGGGCTGTTAAATCATAGATCAAAGCCAAAGTCTTTCCAAATCTATCATTTTCTTGGAATATGTTTTTTCCCCACAAAACATTACATTCGCATTGAAAAGGAAAAAATATCAAACATCAATTAAACTTTCTTGATACAGAAATAATCATGGAAACCCCAGTGAAAATTCAAAGAATATTTTTTTTCTGATTTTCTGATTTCTAGTTCTGCTCCTGATCTTGCAGCATTTCCTGGACCAATCCACAGTACTCCAACTATACCTGATAATAGGGAGGACAGAATACGCTTAGCTAGAGATAAACACAGGTATTGGACCAATCAATCAATCCAACGAAGGAATAATAGGAAGGAAATAATGCGCTTAGCTAGGGATAAAGCAAAGTAATCAATCAATTTATTAAACAAATATTTAATTATAATCAATCAATCTATCCAAACTACTCTCACTATAACCAAATAAAGAGACAAGAGCATACTTAAAGGTCATGATAAAGCCAACAATTGCTTTCACAAACAATTTAAGCATATTTATCTTTTTATTTCAAGTAAAAACATTTGGGGTTTCCACGATCAATGATAATGATGTCTAAATGAAAATTAATTTAAAATTTTCAGATTATCTTATAGAACATCAAAACCACCTGATTCATTGATCAAGTTTCAGAAAAGGTAAATTCAATAAAAACAATAATTTAAATTTGCATTTTGACATTTCAACAATTGCGCAATATAAATGAAATTGTTTTTCTGCAAATTGATAAATGCATTTTAATCTACAATAAATGCAATCAGAAACGGTTTTCAAATATCTTCATTTAATAGAATTTTTCTTTCTTTCTAGGTCTCGTTCTCTGACGTCAAACTACTCCAGTTATTCCAGCACAAGTGACGTAACACGTGGCAGAAATTCAGATTTTGGCGGCAATCTTGAAAATGGCGGACATTTTGTTACTAGGTGTCAACCAGAAAATGGAGATCTCTATGATCTGAACCAAGTAATAAATGAGACGAGTAGGATGTTTGAGCCTGAGAATGTTCCTCGAAGAAATAGAAGTTTATTAAGTTTAGCCTCATATTCCTCGGGAAGTATGGAACCGACATATGCTAGACAAGCAGCAGATTCTTTAGGTAATTTAAACTTAAATAACCAGAAAATATTAATGTATTAGGCAAAATTTTATAAATGCCCCCCCCCCCCTAATTTTAACAAAACCGCAATCTCATCTATTCTGACCTAACCTAACGTGGCCGGAATAGTAATAGAGCTGGGAGGACATTGTGGGTTTGAAGTTATCAATTCAATGAAGAACCAATTATTAAATATTGCCTATGGTCGATTAACCGATGTGGGAATTTTATTAATTATATTTTCTTGGGGGAAATAAGTAAAATTTAGTTTTATAGTAATAATTATTAAAACTTTGTTTTATGTAACCGAGGGAACGCTAGTTTTTCTTATTAAAGAAGTCTCCAAAAATGAAAATTTGTATTTACAGTGGTGGCACGACCTATGAAACTACAGAACAGGGATCAGATGATAAAACAAAAACCAAGGTTAACTTTTTTGACAACTGAATTAAATGAAATAATTTAAATGCAGATAACGAGCCATTCGATTATCCACTTATCACAATGGTTGGCTGATACCTTTCTTAATTATAGATATTTCTTTATTCTTAAGATTTCGAGCTGACTTTTTTTTTGTTTCTTTGTTTGTCCGAAAATAACTCAGAAGCCCCTGGACCGATTTGCCTCTAATTTTGATTGGGGAAGTGGGGAGTGTTCTTAGCTTGTTTTGAGGTACTCAGTTGAGTGGGTCGACTTTTGTAGCGAAAATTTAGTTCCCGGTAAAATCGTTCAAGTGCGGGTAATCGGCGGGAGTAACATTAAGTAACCTGAGCAGCGCTGGGTTCATAAGTTAGTATTGTCTAAAATGTGGTCTGCCTGTTATCCATATTACCAGTGCAGGAAATAAACTTTCTGAAAACTAAAGCAAAAACTGTATCTACAATTATTATTTTTCTCCATTTTAGATTTCAAGATAAAATCATAAAAATATTTAAGTCGTCTCTAAGCCCTCTACCTTGACTAGAGAAATAAAACTGGTTTATTACGGTTTGTTTTCAGATGCTCTAGATCCAGATCCTTCTCCAGGACTAATACTAGAACTAGGTCTCAGTCTAGATCTTCTATCAATGTTAGATTAGGAATACATACTGTAGACTGAGGGCATACGCTGAACACAAGTGCCTTTTTTTTATTGATTGAAGTGCATAAGAACTAAACAGTGAATTTTTATGTTGGATATCCGGCTAGGCCTGGAATTTAGCGACAGAACTTTATTTCCAGCGGACAAACTTCAACGATGAAGGGAGGAAAGTTATAAATCGGGTAATCCATAAGTCTAAAATCCGCCAATATACTTATTTCAACATCTGCAGCTAAAGTTTAGCCATCATGGTGATTGGTGAAGATCTCCAGCTAAGCTTATTGATACAAAGGTCTAAAACAAAAATTTCGCTATCCATTGATGTTTAAACAAAATCCAAACAGAGTCCTTACGAACCAAATTACTATTTCATGCAATGAACAAATCCTTTATCTTATTCTGCATTCTAAATAAGTTGACTACATCTTTCAAACAAATAATTTATTATTAATAAATTTTTTCCAGCTCTGAATGTGATTTTTAAGATAAATTTTAACAAATAAATTACTGTACTTTAACACTGATATTTTTATTTTAGTTCAATATTTCTAGTGTTGAAGCAAGAAATAAATTAAAGTGGTGAATGACAAATAATTTTTATGCCTGACAATAATATCTTCAACATAACAATAAAATTTTTATTTACAAAATCCTCAGTTATTTAGAACAGCAAACTGCAAAGGTCATCTAGATGATGTATGTAAGTGAATTGCAACATATCATGCAATAAAGTCTGTTATCGCCATGCTCATTTTTTTTTACAAAACCGTCAAAGGGATTGTCATGTAATTTCAAGCGAAACTCAACTTAAACTAGGGCATGTCCGATTTAGAATGGTACTGTATAAACCTTTTTCTGACTAAAAATGTATAACTTAACTTGTCCTTTATTGTTTCTGCAAAAGTGGGTTTCTCATTCATTCTTGATCAGACAAAGCATTCAGGATACTTGTAAATCGGACATGAAATTACGTATACTGTCTCTTTAACAAAAACAATTTTATTCTATCTTCTTGAAGTCCCTCCAAAACCGGAGGCTGTTCTCGTGCCTCCTGAGCTGGCCGGCGCACTGCTGCCTCCGCCGAAACTTCGTGTAGAACCTCCACCCCAACCGCCTCCTCCGCCCCAGCCTCCTCCTCCTCCAAAGCCTGTGTTGTATCCACCGTAGCCTCTGTTGTATCCGCCATATCCTCCTACAGCAGATCATAATTTTTTAATAAAAAGATTTAAAAGAAATCACAGATAGAATTTTCAAAAATTGTATATATATTATATAATGTATTATTTGTTTGAAATAAATTACTTTGCATTTCTGTATCACTTCAATTTCAAGTTTAAAAGCAAGAAACTTCTTTAAAATAACGCAATTACGTCAGGATATAACAGATATATTGTCTAATTTGTTTTCATGATTCGAAAAAGGAATGCTGATTAATGTCGGTTCAGTTCGATTATCTAACATAACTACCAGTATTATTCCTGGCCCCGAACATATATCCCAGTAAACCGCCAACTCCAGCTCCAGTCCAGAAGTTACCACCTCCCATACCCGCCGCACCAGTCCCCCTGCGGCGGGCTCCGCCTCCGCAGCTGGCATCATCAGCTGTATGTCCAGGATACCCGGCACCACGACTGCTATAACTACCAGTGTTTCCTGCACAAAAATTCATTATTTTCTTTCTTCATTCACTTCTTGAAAAAGATACAGTAAATTTTAAATGTTTGAACCCCTTCCATGATTTTTTATTAAAATTATCAATGGTGTTGAAAATGAAAAAAATATTTTTAGGGATTTCGTACAAAAACCCTCATTAAAAACACCGTCTTTCATGCAAAAGTAAAAAATAAAGCCTTTTTTTGATACAATATTTTAGAGGTAATAAATTTGCAAATCGACTCAATTTAATGCATCATCGGATATTGATTTTGTTTAAAGATGTGAAAAGTAGAAGAATAAAATTAGGAAAATCTTTTAGTTTTCTCTTAAGAATGAAAATAAGATGTGAAAAATCGAAAATAAAAAAAATCCGGGAGAACGATTCTCGGCTTACACTCCAGAAGGAGTTGTAACAAAAAAGTATGATAAGTATAATTAAAATTTTTTTCACAAAAAGGACAAAGAAATATATATATATATATATATATATATAAAACCCTCCTTTATAACTCCCGACCAGGGCCAAGAGTAACCTCTAAGTTATAATTGATACAAATTTCGTACAATATTGTATATACAATGATTACTTTTGTTTATCTGGTTTGTGATTTGTCATGTGAATTTTAGACTTCGGCTTTATAATTCTGCTATGTTATATTCAAGGTCTACAAATCAGGTTGCAAAGATTGAGCAATTTAGAGTTTGAGGCAAGTGTTTAGTTCCTTACATGAGCCTGAGAATGACCAAACTCCTCCTCCTCCACTATTAGCTCCTGGATAACCATTAGCTCCTGGATAACCATCAGATCCTGTACTATTGTATTGCCTATCCTCACCTGAGCCTGGAGATGTCCAACCTCCTCCTCCTCCACTAGCTCCTGGATAACCATCAGACCCTGTACTACCGTATTGCCTATCCTTACCTGGGCCAGGAGATGCCCAACCTTCTCCTCCTCCACTAGCTCCAGGATAACCATCCGACACTGTAATACTGCATTGACTATCCTTACCTAAGCCAGGAGATGGCCAACCTTCTCCTCCTCCACTAGCTCCTGGATAACCATCAGATCCTGTACTACTGTATTGCCTATCCTTACCTGAGCCAGGAGATGTCCAACCTCCTCCTCCTCCACTATTTCCTGGATAACCATCAGATCCTGTACTACTGTACTGCCTATCACCCATCTCCTAACATTTCAAAAATTAGGAAACAAAAAAAAATAAGCCAAACACCAAAAAGTATGCACATTATACAAATGATGTTAAGCTTTCCCCCTTTAGACCATCTCTATTTACAACGTATCAGAATTTGACTAATTTAATTGCTGTAAATGTCATTGATAATAAAAAAAATCGTTTAAAAGATGCTTAATACTACCTCAGACTCGATGCAGGTTTTGTATATTGCATAGATAACAATGCAAACAACTCCAAGGATGATCAGATCACTTAATCCCTTCCATTTAGTGGATCCATACTTATCATCGTAAGCGCCTAATCCATTAGAAAAGGTTAATATAGTGTAATGCAGTTAAATTATACGTTCTATATAATAAAACAAGACATTCGTATATATCTATGTTGCGTACAGACGGCCAAACGGCTAGACCGATTGGGCTAAATTTTTTGAGAACACTCATGGGCGCCCTGGGGGTGTTATAGGCTAAAAAATATTTTTTTTCCACGGGAAATGCCGGGCCTTTCAGCTAGTCTATATAGTAAAACAAGACATTCGTATATATAAAAATATGTTGCCTACAGCCGGCCAAACGGCTGGACCGATTGGGCTGAAATTTGTTGTGGACACTCGACGGGTGGCCGGGGGGTGTTATATGCTAAAATAGATTTGAAATTTTTTTTCTTCAAATTTTTCAAATTTTTTTTACGCGCAACACCTGGTACTTCAGCTAGTTGTATATATTAGTTATTTTAGTTTATTTTACAGTACTAGGTAATGGGTTCATTGATCCATTTTTTAACATCAAAAACAATCAAGTTAAAAAAGATACAACTAAAACATAAAAAGTTTGAAACTTTTTCAGAGCTTTAAAGAATTCTTAACCAGAATTCATAACAGAAAAAATGTTAAAAAAATATAATCTTACGATAAGTTTGAATTAGCAGACTTAAGTGGGGATTGTAAGCGTAATTTCAAAAAACCATCTATGCAACAATTACAATGCCCGATTTACAACGGTACCCTTTATTTGATCAAGTATTAAAATAATATATCAATGTTTATAAACTGATAAATTTTAATTGTGGTTTCTCTGCAAAAGTGAATTGCGCATTCTAATGCAGGAAAACGTACAGGAATTTTCAGAACTAAACACTTTTAAACCTAGAAAAAAGACAATATCTTCCTGAGGCCGAATTTAAAGAATTTGTGCCGCGGCTTAAATTTAAGCCGGGGCTCAAATATGGTTGGTTCCACTTAAAATTGTATTCAATTTTTTAATATTTCAGCCGGCGCTCAATTGAAACCGGTTTTTGGGGGATTTGAGACGCGGCTTAAATTCATTACATTCGGACAATGACTATTGATCAGTAAATCGGGCATTGTCATTTTTGCATGGAGAGTCTCTTGAAATAACACCAACAGGCAACAGTACCTTTAGAAGCCGAAAAAATCCCAAATGTTTAAAATACTTGATAAAACCTGCATATGAGTCCTGTGCATAGTTAGATTGATAACTACTGCTTCCTCCAGTTTTCTGTTTATCTCTACCCTGTTGAGTCAACTCCAGGGTATACTCCAGACCACAGCTACCGGCCAGAATATACGGATCCTCCGGATAATCATATCCCTCGCAGAGCACATTCACGCTACCTAATATAAATAGTATACACTTGTTCATTCGAAAGATCAAATTAGTCAAATAATTATAAAAACTCGGAAATTTCAATAATTGATAAATTGTAATTTATTTCCAGAGGTGGTGGGGGTTTCAGGTATTCTTCATTTGATTTAGTTTTTTTCAGATATTGATTAAAAATCCAACAATAATACATTTTTAAAGTATCCTTATAATTTAACAAATTAATGACTGTAATTAATGATTTATCGTAATCCTACTCACCAAGTCTATAGTCCATATCAAGATCAGTTTTACACTCCCAGTTAACATCTAAGCCATCCCAGCCACGATTATAACATTGGACAACCTAATAATAATTATTTACATGTAGTACAGTAATTATGTTAATATATAGAAAAAAAACCTAAAAAGGCCTTTTCTCAGCTTGGTTAAAATATAGTTCCATGATTAATTTCAATTATTTTTAATCAATAAAATTGGTTTTCACGGGAAACATTCCGAAAAATGATCCGACGCGACGCAGAAGAATCTATATAATTGACAAAAAGTAGAAACAGCCAAGAAAAAATATTCTTCGTTATTAAGATAAAAAATACTATTTTTAATAATCACATCTTTTTATAAAAGTTTTAAATGTACTCCACGACAGTATAACTGTTGAACTGGCCTAATCCAGTTTTATATTCACCTGTGGATTAAACATTCCTCTAGCACTTCCTCCAACACAGTTTAATTGAGGAACTGAACTACTCCGACGTCCTGTAGTCATCTTTCCTTGGTGTAGTGTCAGTACCTATAAAAATCAGGTACCATAATTAAAAAGAAAAAAAGAAACTAAATATTTTCAGCAATTCCTCTCCTTGAGACCATAGTTTGGGGCTCATGGCGGCATAGCACCCCCTCCCTCATACTAAAACACTAAATGAAAGTTTGAAGAGGGGAAAATTTTACACAATTGTCTGCCATAACTTCCCAAAAATTATAATTTTACCGACTAAAAACAGAGTTACGAGGGAAGGGTAATGTTAAAAAATTCTTATAACAAAAATACCACTGGCAAAAACCCTTGGGTTTGTGATTTGGTAATTTCATAGAAAACGATTTTTGGACTTAGCTTTCGGAAATATAAAATAATTATGATAANGAAACGGGGGGGTTAAATTTATGCATATTTTTATAAAAACTTTTTCTTAGGGTATAATATTTGAAAAAGCGTAAGATACCTGAACATCTTTTAGTAGAACTTTTCCTTTGGTTTCCCCCCAACCTAGACAAGCTCCGACTAGATTTAGGATTAATAAACCCAATATCCAGCTCCGTAACCGTAGTTCAAGCATTCTTTACTTGTCAGCTTTCAGTTAGTATGTGTCTATCCAAACTGGAATATTCAAAACTAAAATGAAACATAAAATGAAGAAAGTTAACAGATTTTAAACAATAAATATAAAAAGCGAGGGGAACGATGATGGATCTGTTCTCCCTAGCCTGTCCTAGCCGCGGCGCTCGGCCCCTTGCCTGTCCTAGCCGCAGCGCTCGGCCCAGAAAGTGTCTTAACCTAACCATACCAATTAAATGTATACTAATTTTGTTGAACCGAAAATTGTTGAAAAAGTCGTCATGTACAAAATTGATAGGAGGGGGGTCCAAAAATCGTATACTAGGACGGACCTTATAAATTGTTGCCATAGCTAAAATCACGGTGTCGAGATTATTAACTTTGCGAATCAGATTTGATAGGTATTAAGTTTTATTCTCAACCTTGTGACTTCCAGTTATCATATTTATCTTCAATACTATATGGTAATTGATTGATTTATAATCGTTTATTTATTTATATACAGTACCTTGCGCTATTATCTCAATTTAATACTATGGTTAACTCACTGAACTCTATTAGTCTATTATTTAATGTTTTGGTTTCAGGTTTTATGACTAATATCAGCTGATGAAATTCACTAGAATATTTTGAAACCTCCTATTGGCCATTTCACTCGGTGCTCTACTTTAATTGGTCGAAAATAAAGAAATTGTTTCCATTGGCTGAGAAATATTTGGACAAATTTCGTCATAAAATTTTAACGGCATTCTCGCATTATCATTATTGAAGTATAATTGAAGAAATTATTAATCAAACAGAGATAAAAAAGTAAAGCCTACCGCTAAATGTCAGAGAAAATTGTTTAATAAGTATTTTTATCTCATAAACATTGTAATAAACGTTTAGAATATTTGCATTTGAAGCTGTTATCACAGCTTAAACAGTTTTTGTCTCTAACAAAATATATCCGTAAATTTGAAGCTGTTTCAAGCAGCTTCAATCTCACACTAAACGTCGCCGTAATGTTTAGCCGGTCACTGTCATGCTCCAATTTCAATTTTCATTATTAATATTCAAAGTCATCTAGGGTGTCTAGAGTTGCCTCAATGTTCATTGAGATTGGGGTCTGTCCTAGTATACGATTTTTGGACCCCCCCCCACCTATCAATTTTGTACATGACCACTTTTTCAACAATTTTTAATAAAATTAGTATATATCTAGGGTTAGGTTAGGTTAAGACACTTTCTGGGCCGAGCGCTGCGGCTAGTACAGCTTACACTAGTACAACTTAACCACGGGTTCCCTTGAATTGGGAACCCTTGGNTAATTCTTTGATTTAGTATAGTGATACCTACTGAGAAAGCTGTAATCTGTAAGAGTTTCGTCTGCTATGTTTACATTTTGTTTGTTTATGTTTTGACTGCAACCGGTTGTACTTAGTAAAACAAGAAAATTACAGTATACAAACAGAGTAAACTTGTCCATATTCACTGTTCATCTTGCGGAGACATTATAGACACATCTTTTCAGTCTTTTACCCTTTTCATTAAATAAACTCTAGCAGACATAATAATATTATGGCTTTTGAAATTAGGTATTACAATGCTAATTCATAACAAAGACGATATCGAATTCGTCACTGAATTCCCATGTTTTTTGGGACACCCTGTATAATAATAGCTTGGGCCGTGGCGTCGTGATTAGGAGGGCTATAAGCGCTGTGGAATGTTTATAGTACTTATTAAAATCTTCAATTATTCCTCAGATTTCTTCCTTAAGTGTAGCTATTTATTGAGCTATGTACAGCGAGTAAAGCTAATGTCTTGAAATGAAAATGACTGAATCTCAAATACCAGATCATCGGCGGTACTGGGAGTCCCTAGATTTTACTATAACCAAGGTTTGTTGTTTCTACACAATTTAATCAATATTAAAATCCAATATAAAATAAGTTACTCGGTAGACACCTTTTCCAGTTTTCAGGAAAGTTTTTGTGTTCCTTACATAACTAAACGAACTCTTTTATAATGTACTAGAAATTCAGGGTGCTTCGCACCCTTCTTTCTAGGCTTTTTATCTTCTAAATTAATTGTGAACATGTTCTCTTTGTGTACATCGTAAAACAAAACAAAAATAATTCGCGGATTTTCACAAAAAATTTCGTGGCTTTTCAAAATTTTCAAAAATTTAATGAAGATTGAATTTTGATGGAGACAAATATTTGAAATTTTGATCATTCATAAACCTTCCCTGGGGTCCCTAGATGTCCCACAAAAAATTTGGGCCCGATCGGTTTTGCCGTTTTGACGTTCATTGGATACAAACAGACAGACAAACAAACAAACACCCAGACAGACAAGCCAAATTTATATATAGATTAATGAAAGGGTCTGTCCTAGAGAACGATTGTTGGACCCCTCCGCCCCCTCCTTCAATCAATTTTGTACATGACGCTGCGGTTGCGCCTACATGTACAAAATTGATAGGATGGGGGTTTGTGTTTAAAAATCGTGCGCTAGGAAAATAACCTTAATGAAATTTACATAAAAAGGTATATCGTACGATACTTTTAGAACTATTTGTCGGTTTTGTTTTTACCAGGGGGAGGAGAGCTTTTAGGGTAAATTAAAATAATGACGGATTTTGTGCTTAACATAAAAATACAAACCAAAATTTCATATTTTCTGTTTCCCCTGAAATCTTAAAGAAAATTTACAAAGCAAGATTTTGTTTTTAATTTTATGTTTTAGACTGTTATAGAGGAAGGTGACACTTCTTCTTGGAAACCAAGGTAATACAAAGATATAAAAGAAGTGCAAAAGTGCAAAAAATCCGCAACATTTTGAATTTTTGGATCCAGAGGCCGAATTTAATGAATTTGAGCCGCGTCTCAAATCCGCCAAAAACCGGTTTCAATTGAGCGCCGACTTAAATCTTGAAACATTGAATACAATTTTAACCCTATCCCTGCTGGGGTACTTGAAAACCAGGATACGCTGGGGGGTCCCCCCCCCAGCGGGAATAGGGTTAAGTGGAATCAATCTATTTGAGCCGCGTCTCAAATTTAAGCCGCCGATCAAATTCTTTAAATTCGGCCTCAGATCACCATAAAAATGCTTGGATCCGGATCCAAGGGAGTAAAATATCAACCAAAACATTAAGAAACACTGCCTTCTGAACACGAATTTAGAGAGATTTTAAGAACTTCTCAATCTCTGTATGGTATGGATCCAGGACCGTACACGAATGTACATCAATATGAAATGGATTCTAAGGACTGATAAAAAAGTGTTTAAAATTAAATAAAAAATTAATTAATTGATCAGTTAAAACTTCTTTTAAGAATTGGCGCGTCTGGATCGATTTCCTTTTCTCTTCTTAATCTGACAGGAATAGTGGAGGATCAGGTGATTCTCTTAACAAACTTTTTGAAATAAAGGAATTGTTCTTTTTTTTGGATAATGAGTAAATTGTACCACTCTTGTGCACATCTAGTGATAATCGTTTTGGATCGTTATGAGTTAAAATGTATAAAACTTGCATGATTTCAAAATTTGTTTTAATTTAAAGTTTGCTTTTATTAAACTTTGCAACATCTTTATCCTAAAGAACAAAAATTGGAAAAAAGAGCCTAAAATTATCGTTTTTTGTATTTTCTTTGCATATATCTTCTGGTAGGGTCAAATTTTAACATTCTTTAAGAACGGCAAATGTTTAGATTACAAAAATGAAAAAAACATTTCCTACCTTTACATTATGCCAAATTTTGACCCTGAAAGAAAATATTGCCAAAAAACGACCGATAAAGACCCAATTCAAGTTAAGTCCGTAAATAAAAAAGATTTTTTCTAAAATAACTCTCCCTCCAGCAAACACTATTTCTTCAAATCTCCTTTTCTTAGAAGAAACTAAGAATTAAACAATTAAATAACAAAGGGGATGGTGGAGTTGGCACATTTGATGTAGGGGGGGGGGGGGCCCTGCCTTCATTTTTGGTTCAAATCTTCCAATTTTTTGGGTGCACGCCTAATTAATGATCGAAATTCCTAAAATAAAATAAAATTGAATTTTAATGACCTCTAATGACCTCCACAAATAGAAAATATTTCAACTATGGCTTTATGCATATCAAACGAAAGCTAGGAACCCAGGGAATACAGTAGCATCAACAAATTCAGTATTTGACCTTCTAATGACCTCTTACGACCTCTAATGACCTAAATGACCTCCACAAATGAAAATGTTTTAACTATGGCTTCATGCATATCAAACGAAAGCTAGGAACCCCAGGAATACAGTAGCATCATCAAATTCAGTATTTGACCTTCTAATGACCTCTTACGACCTCTAATGACCTAAATGACCTCCAAAAAGAAAATGTTTTAACTATGGCTTTATGCATATCAATTAAGAGCTAGGAACCCCAGGAATACAGTAGCAGAAACGAATCCAGTGTTTGACCTTCTAATGACCCTTAATGACCTAAATGACCTCCAAAAATGAAAATATTTGAACTATGGCTTTATGCATATCAATTAAAAGCTAGGAACCCCAGGAATACAGTAGCAGAAACGAATCTAGTGTTTGACCTTCCAATTAAAATTCATTTTGATTTTATTTTAGGAATTTCGATCACTAATTAGGCGTGCACCCAAAAAATTGGAAGATTTAAACCAAATGTGCCAACTCCACCATCCACTTTATGAATTTAGTTATGCAATGATGTTTTGCTGAGTAAATACTTTTCATCTTCCCCTTGTGAGTTCTTGATTGGATCAGCCGAGACAGAAGTTGACAGACAGCTGGAGAAGTAAGATTTTTAAAGGATTTTTAGGCTGGTCTTTTTTTTAATGTTTCACCGTAACGTGAATCAAGCAACACTCCCAAATATAGACGATTTTCCAATTTGTACCTTTAATTTAAGAAAATGTTTCTTAAAAATAATAATTTTTTTTTTCAGAAATAAATTTAGCTCATTTGTTATCTTCTGGTGTAAACTTGTTATAGAAATCCTGGAGTCGTTTACTGGTAAAACCACATCATTGGGTCATATAATCGTTTACATTTAGTTATATTTTCTACATTATTGATTTTACTTGAAAGAAGATTTCTAGGGAACTCCCTGTGTTTGGTACACTGCCACTTTTATTGAAAAAACGATTTTTAATGATTGTAATTGCAGATGTATTCAGTCCTGCTACCCTGGGCAGATAGCACAGTTTAATATGAGGGTTTTACTAGGTAACTAAATCTTATTTGAATTTAAAAAAACATATTTGTTTTTGATAAATTTATCCCTCAGAGCCAGAGTATAACGGAGCAGGGAGAGGAGGGTTGGATGTTGTGGAACCAGACTGGATTTCATTAGAATTTAAGCTAAACCTTGAAACCTTACTCAATGCTCAACCAGTATATAAGTGGTTTAACGAGACTAAACTTACTAAGGCAGGTTAGCATAGGGATTATATGGAAAGATTTTTTTTTCACCAATTAATATGTTATTTTTACGTTACTAAAAGAATATTTGATCAATGTTCAAGGGTATGATTTATGAAGCTATGAGAGAAAATAGTGAGAGGGGGTTTCTCTAGAAAATATAAAGAACCTGAAACTGATCGTCTAGATAAAACTAGCTGAAGGGCCAGGCGTTGCCCGTGAAAAAAAAAACATTTTGAAAAAAAATATTTTTTTGCCTATGTCACCCTCTGGCTACCCATGAGTGTCCACAAAAAATTCAGCCCATTCGGTCCAGCCGTTTGGCCGGCTATAGGGAACATATAACGAATGTCTTGTTTTATTATGCAGATTTAAAGGGGCTGTAAACGTAATTTCAAGTTACCTTCCATTTATAGAATGACATGTTCGATTCACAACATCTCTTAAAAGTTTTGCCTGATAAAGAATGATGGAGATTTCTATGATTTTTCTTAAATTAAAAAAAAAAATATTTTATTGAGTGACTTCGGTAGAGAAAATTTAAATGATTCCACATTATTGATCAGAAATGTTTAAATGGTAGCGTTGTGAATCGGGTAAGCTTTAAAAAAAAATGAAAGTCCACTTCAAATCACAACGACAATCCTTATGACGATATTTGTGTTAGGCCCGTGAAATGCATAGTTCTGGTGTCCGATTATTCAAGGAGAAACGATATCTGGATTCATTCCATATGTTTACACAGGCCTACAAGCTGGCGGTTCTAGGTCAGTGCTGTATGTTTTTTTCTTCCTTTTATGGATTCTCGTGCCATTTCATTTTTTTTTCAAAACTTAAAAAATGAGCTTTTGTAAATATGGATTAGCCATTTTTTGTCATTAATTGTTTTCTTGTTACATCTGATTTATAGTTTTGAAATTTCTTTAAAAACAATTGAGTTTTTGTCGAATGAATTATTTCTTTTCTTGATCTTCTATTTTTGTCTCGTGACATGTGTTCACAAGGATAGAATATTTTCAGAATATTTTCGTCGAACTGGATTAATAACTTGTTTTGTTATTAGCACGAGGGATACCAGAGGATAATTATGCTCAGAGTAAAGAAGCTGAGGATCTACAGAATCTATGTTATAATAATCTAGGTATTCAAATTATTTTAACTAAGGAAACTTTAAAGAACATTTTAGAAAATGATTTAAAAAGAAATATAAAAATTTTCTATTTTCCCTCTTTTTCGGCTCCAATGAGGTCAATGACCTCCGATCCAAAATTATTCTTCAAATCCGTGTTGATAATCAAAATTTGAGCTGTATGCCATCTATCCCAATTCTATAATATTATGTTATTTATCATTTTGCAGGTGCTTGTCATTTCCAGTGGAAAAATTTTAGTAATGTTGTTGAACTCTCAGGACTTGTTCTTCAATCCCAACCTAGCAACGTAAAAACTCTATACAGGTAAGTTGTACATTTTTTTCTTGCATGTTTTTTTTCTGAAGATTTTTCATGGAATCTTTATTTACCTAAAGAACTTTTTTTTGAGTTTGTGTTTTAATGAAAATATATAAACCAATAAATTAGCTTTTTATCAGTGCTTAGGATTCATTTTATTTTGATGAGGATCCGGTTGATGATTCAGAAATCAGAAAAATTTTATAATCTCTCTTTTTTCAATAGTTCAAATTTGGGGTTTGAGAAAAGTTTTATTTGTAGTTTTTGTTGATATTTTGCCTTTTGGATTCGGATCTGTAAATCCGCTAAATCCGCATATTTTTGTGGATCCGGATCTGGATCCAGAAAGCCAAAATCTTGCGGATTCAACGGATCCGGATCAAGCACTGCTTTTTATAATAATTTTTTATGTTTAGAAGAGGAGTTTCGTATCTGAGTATGCAAGAGTTTGATTTAGCTGAGAAGGATTTGGTCCATGCAAGGCAACTAGAACCAAATAATAGGTTTGTTTATTTTTTTTTATTAGAGAATGTTTGAAAATTTTATTATTTTTATGTTCAGGGCTGTTGAAACACTTGGTTTCATTATTTTTATGATTAGGGCTGTTCAACATATGATATTTTTATTTTCAGGGCTGTTGAAAAACTTGATGTTTGGGGCTGTTCAAATATTTGATTATATTGATGTTTGTGTAGGGCTGTTCAAATATTTGATTAAATTTGTTTTTGTTGGTCAAACATCTGATTATATTAATACTTAGGGCTGTTCATGAGAAACTGGGTCTGGTGCAACAAAGGAAAAAGTCAGCAGAGCTTAAACTTGGTTCAAGAATTAGTAAAATGTTTTCATCATAAAGAAATAAGATATTTGTGCCATGCTTTAAAGTTTAGTTCTGTGAATATTTGTATTTTAATTTTTTAATTTTTTTTTGCCGATTCATTCAAGTTAAACAGTTTGCAATTTTTTGTTCAATTAACTTTCTTAGTCATTGCAATTTATCATATTTCCCCTGTTCTTCAGAAATTTTCCATTCAAATTATATTTTTGTTCAATTTTCTTATCTTTATAATTGTAACCTAAATAATGAAACAGATTTCCACAAATATTGAGATAAGATTTATAAACTATTTTCAGATCCATTAGGACCGAGTAGTGTATACCGGAAACAGTATACACGAGGTCCAAAATGGGTGGGAGTAAAATCCTTTTCCGGTCAGGGGTTCAAGCTATTCAGCCTCATGGTTCACCGGTAGGTTTTATGTTTTTTTGGGTTTTTGTAACTGAGTAACAGAGAGCAAATATTAAAGAAACCAGAGATCGGAACTTTTATCATTTTATGTCGATATTGTTTATCTTGAACACTTAATCTCGATATACAGTTTGCTACTTATAACAATTAAGGATCATTGCTTGATTTTTCGATTAAAGTTATCCCTGCAAGGTAAGATTTTCAAGGGAAATCGAAGAGGAATTGAAGTTATCCGCAGATCTGAATAATATGGAGATCAATGCGTGTTTCTTAGTTTTAAAGCACTAAAGTCTGAATTTAAGTTTATCAATACGTCGCCTGATGTAGGTTTGAAACCTTTCTAATTGTTGAGTGCTAGTGGTATAACAAGTCTCTCAGTAAAAACTTTTTGATTTGGTAGAAATAAGCAAAATTTGAAGACATTTCCTAGAGCTATTTCCCCCCTACAAAAAGTGCCCATGCGACCTACGAAAAGTGCCCATCCTACCTTCGAAAAATGCCCATCCGACCTACGAAAAATGCCCATCCGACCTACGAAAAGTGCCCATCCGACCTACGAAAAATGCCCATCCGACCTACGAAAAATGCCCATCCGACCTTCAAAAAGTGCCCATCCGACCTACAAAAAGTGCCCATCTGACCTACAAAATTGAGTGGCCGTCCGACAGCTACAATTAATTATTGCCACCCTACTGAGCTATGGCATGACAAAATAAGCTGCTGAATAGGTCGGATGGGCAAGAAGATATGCCCATCCGACCTACAGCTGTCGTAGGTCAGATGTTGCAGTAGGTCGGATGGGCAGTATAGCGGATGGGCAATAGGACGGATGGGCAGTAGAGCGGATCAACATTACCCTATTTTCTTTTTAAATCATTTTTTTGTTACAAATTAGAAACAATTCTTTCTGGTTTTAAATCATGATCAGTTTCTGAATCATAATTAATTTTGTTCGTGTTTTAAATCAGAATTATTTCTTTCCTGCTTAAAACCCTGAACTTTTTTCTAGTTGTTGGTGATCGGTCAGCTCAAACATCTGCGCGCTGCAGACTTTAACCTGGTCAAACCAAAGTTCGGAGGGAAGGTCACCAAAGATGTAAGAAGTTATTTCATTACTTTAATATTTATTCCGAATTTTAACAAATTTTATTATAATATTTCTTGTTCCAAACTAACACATCGCAATTTCAAAATTGTTGATTTTCCATTTGAAAGTTTGCACTAAAGCTTCGAAAATGGAGGTGTAATGAGGGGGGGGGGGTATTTCTTTGAAACACATATAATATAATCCATATTTAACATCAGTGAAAAACGACAATCTTTTATAACATTTTATTCATAAACGCATTACAGGGGAAATAACAAAAATTAAACTAAAAAGAAAAAGGAAAAAGTAACTTATTTTAAAATTTTGATAAAGAACATAATTTAATGATGGGAATTTTTGTCCTCGTCATCCTTAATTTATAAAACGTTAGTTTTAGAACTAATGTTCCCTGCATTATGAATAATTTTTGAACTCGTTTTGCGGATTTTTTTTAGATGTTATTGTTCAATTTTAAATCTTATGTTAAATATCAAACACCTAGGTTTGGAGTGAGGGCATATCCCGTCTGAAGGGAACTGTAGCGGATTCTGTTTCTCTTTATCTGAATTCTGTTCTAGTAGCCTCACTTCCAGACAAGGTTAGAAAACAGTTCTAGTAGCCTCACTTCCAGACAAGGTTAGAAAACAGTTCTAGTAGCCTCACTTCCAGACAAAGTTAGAAAACAGTTCTAGTACACTTCCAGACAAGGTTAGAAAAGTTCTAGTAGCCTCACTTCCAGACAAGGTTAGAAAACAGTTCTAGTAGCCTCACTTCCAGACCAGGTTAGAAAACAGTTCTAGTAGCATCACTTAAAACAGTTCTAGTAGCCTCACTCCCAGACAAGGTTAGGAAACAGTTCTAGTAGCATCACTTCCAGACAAGGTTAGAAAACAGTTCTAGTAGCATTACTTCCAGAAAAGGTTAGAAAACAGTTATAGTAGCATCACTTCCAGACAAAGTTAGAAAACAGTTCTAGTACACTTCCAGACAAGGTTAGAAAACAGTTCGTAGCCTCACTTCCAGACAAGGTTAGAAAACAGTTCTAGTAGCCTCACTTCCCGACAAGGTTAGAAAACTGTTCTAGTACACTTCCAGACAAGGTTAGAAAACAGTTCTAGTAGCCTCACTTCCCGACAAATTTAGAAAACAGTTCTAGTAGCATCACTTCCAGACAAGGTTAGAAAACAGTTCTAGTAGCATCACTTCCAGAAAAGGTTAGGAAATAGTTCTAGTAGCCTCACTTTCCAGACAAGGTTAGAAAACAGTTCTAGTAGCCTCACTCCCAGAAAAGGTTAGGAAATAGTTCTAGTAGCCTCACTCCCAGACAAGGTTAGAAAACAGTTCTAGTAGCATCACTTCCAGAAAAGGTTAGGAAATAGTTCTAGTAGCCTCACTTCCAGACAAGGTTAGAAAACAGTTCTAGTAGCCTCACTTAAAACAGTTCTATCTAGTAGCCTCACTTCCAGACAAGGTTAGAAAACAGTTCTAGTAGCCTCACTTCCAGACAAGTTTGGAACACATTGTAGTGGCTTCTTGGATTTCGTAATCAAATTACAGATGAATGAACAAAGAAAAGAATATTTTTTAAGGAACCGTTGAAGTAATGTCTTGTAAATCACAACTTTAATACAAGTTATATGCTTGATTCATAACGGTATTCATAATATTTTTATTTTAGCTGCAATGAGGGAGATATTGTCGTGTTTCTACCTCAGTATGAGATAGATTTAATCAATTTCCTACTATTTAAAGTTAAGAATTTCAAGGTCGAAAAATCAAACTTCTATAAAGTTCGTTGTTAATCGCGATCATGTAACTCTGAAAATGTAAGGTCAATTGAAAATAGGTCGAGTGCATTAAAAACGCATTTTTTTCGATTTATATATAAAACAAAATTATATGAAATTTTTTGCAAAATATTTTGAGGTTTATTTTGGCTGGATTAGTTTGAATAGATAATTTTTTTTTTAGGTTTCTCGTCATAATACTCCCTCTCGTTCTCATTCTATTTCAAAGATCCTCAAAAGTTTTTCTGGATGCAGAAATGTACTGGTAAGTAAAAAAAATAAGAAACTTAAATTTTCAAATCAGGGACGTATGTAGGAGTTTTCCCACCATTCAATCAGAGAAAGACGTTATAATCAGAAAACCCGGAATTAATTAACAGTTAGTTAGGCGCGACTTTTCATATATATATATAGCAATAAACTTTATCTTATCTTATCTTATCTAATATATTTGTAAAATTAGATTGCAAAGGATCGTCTGGTTAATTGAAATTTAATTCTGGGTCTTTCTGATTAGGTTTGTATCTAAATAGGTCTAAATATCTTCAGAAACCCTGGCTATACAATATACAATATACATACACCATGAACAATCAAACCTTGTCAAAGATTGTCCAGGAAAAAGATATTGGAGTTACTATGCATTGCAACCAATCAGCCCGAAAAACAAACGGTATATTGTCACTTATTTCTTAAGTATTTCATTAAAGAGACAGAGTTACATTTATCACAATCTTTATAAACTTTATGTGAGACTTTACCCTGAGTTCTCCGTCCCAACTTGGTTTCCTTGGAGTGTAGAAGATAAAGAAACTATGAAAAAAGTGCAAAAAAGAGCTGTCTCAAGGGTTTCAGGACTAACTGGTTTATCATACAGTGAAAAACTAATAGAACTCAATTTATAATCCCTTGAAAGTCGAAGACTCCGCCATGATTTAATTGAAACCTTTAAAATTATTTATCGTGTTAATAATGTTGATAAATGTACTTGGGTTTCAATGTTAGCAGATACATCCAATAGAATTACAAGAATGTCAGAAAATCCTTTCACTTTCACTTAGTGCCAAATTTTGTAGAACTGATATTAGTAAACTTTTTTTAATAGATGTTTCTCCATGGAATGATTTACCCTGTGATATAAAAACTGCGCCAACGTTAAATACTTTTAAGCTAGATATGAAAAATATGTAAAAAATTCTAATCTGTTCTTGTTTCTATTGTTGGGACAAAAAGAGCCAAAAAAATATTATTTAAAAAAGAAAACAGAAAGGCTAAATAAACATAAACATAAACAAACCCATTATCATTTAATAAAAGGGGGGTTGGCTGGTTGCAGGTGACATACGTGACACACATAGTTGCATATTTTGGCAAAGCGTCTTATATAGATTATTAAGGATTGATACTTCCTAGAAAATTCAAAGTTCTGAACAACAAAAGAGTGATTTCGCACATTTAAATAAAATAAGGAGGTAAAAAGGTTTATTTTTTATTTTACGTTGAGAGGCGTCAATATTTTGATAAATAAATTTGGGAGTTTTTTTTTGCTTAGTAGGATATCCCTTATACTCTGATTATATTTTGATTTGTCCTGCTGTCTCCTGTATGATGGATGTCTAGATATTGTGTGAGAGAAAGGACGTGTATCCTAGCGGCTGTGCAGTTGGTAGATGTCTTCCCACCTTCTCCATGAAGACGGAGGGGAGCTTCACGGAGGAGAACGTGACCGTTGAGTTCCTGGTGGAGGAGGGAGATGGTATGGTTGCTTTGGAGATGGGAGAAGAAGATTTGAACCTTCTCCAAGATAGTTGCTGTGGAATACAGCTTACTGCTAGGTATTAAATTATTTAACATCTTGGGAGATCTGAGATGGGAACTTTTAAATGGGATATCCTTAATCCTGATCGGATAATTAATCTGGAGATTAAAAATGAGTGGAGAACAAGCAATATTTAATCTGCAGATTAAGAAAAAGAGTGGATTATGCCTTAATCCCGATATCCACCATTCTAAAGTTTTCAGCTCTGAACCATTTTTTTTCTTTTCTTAGCAACATTAAAAAATCAGTCTTAAGATCCCACTGTTCAATGATTGACCATTGGTCAATGATTGGGATCACCCAGTGTTAGGAAAGCAACTGTTCAATGGTTTATGTCTGTGCGAGTGTTAGCATTAAATGGCGCATTCTTGCATGCTGATAGCTGAAACCATCTAGAATCAGATTAGTGACCGAATTTAATGAATTTGAGCTAGAACGCTTAACTACCTATCGTCGATTCAAATATTTATCTCTGTAGTGCTGCAGTGTAGTTGATACCTATAGGACATGGACAAATCTTGAATCACCGATTCAAGAGACCTGGTTGAACCGTCTTTAGACCTGGCTCAAATTCATTAACTCCGGTCTAGGTTAGAAAAAGAAAGTGAACATACTAATATTTACTCCAGGCTGCTGGACACGCCCTGTAATCTGATGAACACGATGAACTTCCTGGACGAGATTCTCAAGGTTAAGGAGGACCTTTCCAGCTTCGGTGTCACGTGCACGGTCATCAAGGGGGAGGAACTGAGGTAGGAAATAAGATTTATGTTATAACTATCATTTCTTAAATGGATTGTTGGCGGAATTTAAGTTATGTCATCCATTTAAGAGAGTGGCATGCCCGATTCTCAACAGTGTCCTTCAAATCTTATCTGATAATTGTGACTATTTCATATTTGGTGTTTAAATTACCGGAAAGCTGCAGTTTATATGCTAATGTACAGTGTATGTAAACTCAACACAACTGACTTTAATTATTTCTAGAGAATTCCGAACATTCCATGTCTATTGTCTATTGTTCAATTTTTGTATCAAAAATTTATATGAAAATGTGAATTTTTGAAATTTAAAAATGCTTGCTAATCAAGTTACAAACAATTACAACCAATCAAAACAACCAACTCTGGTTAGGTGGGTCCAAACTACATAGTAAATTGTGATTTGTTATTTGTATTATCTCGTGCTTTGTAGTTGAATAAAAATATTAATATGAATGAATACAATCGTTTCTGTATATAAATAAGGATTAGTCTGTCAGTCAAAGGTTTATAGGGTACTGTAGTAAATCATACACGCTTAAATTCCATTAACTTTGTACCCCCTAAACCAACGTTAATATTGTGATTTTTTTATTTGATAATATTTGCCCCTTTTTTACTTAAAGTGACTTGTACCGAGTTGATTTTATTTCAAGGCATTAATGCTGTCTTGTAACTAATAAAGCGATTTTTAACTAATTAGAACTCGTGGGTTTGGAGGTATATATGGAGTAGGACGGGCCGCAGAACATCCTCCTGTTCTGGCAATACTCAGCTTTAACCCTAAGAAGCCACAGGTAGCTTAGTTCAGCATTAGAAATTAACGGGAGTGGGACATAAACCTACTTTTTTAATCAAGTTTTTATTTTGAGCGGGGTTGAACATTAAAAATTTGTTAAATCTGATGGCTAAATTAAATCTTTTTTATGAACTTGGACAGGAGTCACAAGGGCACCTTCGCTTGTACAAACGCTAAATCCTTCTTCACCCTAGGGTTTAGGATTTAAATGGGTTGTGTTATTGTTATTCTTATTAACTGATTGATTTCTTAGAGAACTGTAGCTTGGGTCGGAAAGGGAATCGTTTACGATACCGGTGGTCTTTCCATCAAGGTAAATTTTTATACATTCTGTAAATTTTTTAGAATCATAACTTATGTTTTTTTCTCAGTCTAAAACGGCGATGCCTGGAATGAAGCACGACTGTGGCGGTGCAGCGGCAGTTTTGGGAGCTTTTAGTGTGGCGGTCAAATCTGGTTTCAAGGTCAGATCTAAATTTTGTTGTCAGTGCTCATGTTCTGGATCTCGATCTGTTGGTTCCAGATCCAGATCCGCGAAAATATCCATGGATCTGAATCCAAGGTGCAAATTATTCACCAAATCATGTTTGAGATATAATTGTGGCTCTCGAAACACAAATCTCCATTATTAACTATAAAAAAGAGATTAATATAAGATCTCAGTAGTTCATAAGGTTTCAGCAAAATATAAGCAAAAAGAAGAAAATATTGAAATCTTGAAAAGTTTAGAATCCGGTTCTATTTATTTCTATTTTATTCAATTAAATGAAATGGATCCTAAGCACTGCTTTTTGTTTAATTGAATATCATAATAAAGAGTTGATTTATTTTAGGATACTCTGCATGGGATCTTCTGTCTAGCAGAGAACAGTGTTGGTCCTTTAGCGACCAGGTAGAGAATAAGAAGAATATGGAATTTTTTAACAATTTACGTAAACTTTCTTTTAATAGGACAAATTTTCTAATGTCTAATTGTTAAAAATGTTTAGTTTGAATATCTAGTTTTAATGTACATGAATTCTTTATTGTTTAACATTTGAATCTTTAAAAACTTTAATATTGTGTGCTTTTTATTAACTATGCAAAATTAATATTTTTCTTCTTCTTAGACCTGATGATATACATACTCTGTACAGCGGAAAAACTGTTGAAATTAACAACACTGATGCTGAGGGAAGACTAGTTTTAGGTAAAAATCATCATTATAATGAGAAATTTGGTTCCTTGTTATAATATCATGCCTCGAAGAATAATTTTCGTCCAAATGTTGCAAGGTTAACATTTTACTGTGAACAAGTTTTACCCTTGTTCTGTTAAAAATGGTGGGGGTATTTTAAAGGGAGTGACCGGCTCTGTAAGGTAGGTTGAACTGAGTATGCAGTGTTGTGGAAAACTTCTTTCGGATTCATTTGCAATCAAACTCAGGATTTACAGATCTTTAAAAAGTTTAATATGTCTGAAATGAATCCGAAAGAAGTTTTCCACAACACCGCATACTCAGTTCAACTACCTTACATAGCCGGTCACTCCCTTTCTTGTCTGCTCATTTTTCTTGAATGAATGAAAACCACATTATTTGGGTTTCATTATTTACCGATTGTAGCTGATGGTGTGGTGTACGCATCCAGGGACCTAAAGGCTGATATTATTGTTGATATTGCTACGCTTACCGGGGCACAGGTATTATTTTACTGTGTGAATACTATTGTATTTTAGATCCGTTTTCATTATTTATTATTATTTATTATACCACATTCTTATTGGATTTTTGTTTTGTTTCTAAAATTAAAGGGTTAAGAATTCCCATTATTACACGGTTCAGGAGAAAAATTGTCCAATATTGTTCGCTTCCTGGCGTTTAAGAATGCTTATTCTTACACTGGGGGTGTAGTTTTCTTATTCTTTAACACTCAGACCGTGTAAGAATGAAAAAAACTCATATTGATCTTTTCAACATAGATCAATATTGATATAAACTTAATTATTATACAAGTACACACACCTTTTTTATTCATGCTCACTTACCTTTTCATGCTCACTTACCTTTTTATTTTTATAAGTATTGATATACCTTAATTCAGATATTTCTATTCAAACCTTGACCTAGCTAAGTCCTGATAGCAATGAACACGAACCAATAAATCTTGTTTCATGAATAAATAATTTTATTTCTTGAACTTGTTCTTGCTAGATAACCTGCATTTCTTTACTCTTTTTGGAAGATTTAGGATCTAAATATCCAGCTAATGATTTCTTTTATTATTGATTTCACGCTTTTCTTCAGTAGATTGAGACAACCCACTTCTATTCTCTACCTTTTCTCCATTTAAAAAACTCAGGGCACATTCAACATGCTAAAACTAAATATAGCATCAACTAAAAAAACAAGCAAATGCATTATAAATTAGTAAACAAACAAACTAACTATGGAAACAATCACACCACATGCATTATTTACAAACAAAGAACCAATTATTACTTATAAAAAGGTTTTTAACATTTTACCATTGTAACATTGTAGGTGACAATAATAAGATTTATTCAGCGGGAGCTTCGGTGAATAATCCAAATTATTCCGCGGTTTATCTTTCAACATTATAACAAGAATTTTGATTATTACACTTTCTTCCTACGCATAATATACTGATGTCTTTGATTCAACTAAATTTTCACATTAGAACCTCCCTAAAATTCGATTAGGATTTGTTAGTAGATTTTTTGGAACCAAACTTACCAGAGTCCGCGATTTAAAAGCTTCGGCTCGAGCCGTAATTCCTTAAACCCGACTTTAAGACCCAATCTTCGACCCAACTCTGACGACAGCTTGTGTCACGTGATTGACAGCTTCAAGATCTTAGGCTCGACTTAAGGAGTTAGGCCCAATGAAAATAAAACCGACCTTGGTTGGTTTTAGTGGAGAATAAGGCTCAATGTTGGGTCTTATTCTCATCAAAACTCGGAATGCGCCAATTCCAACTAAGAAAATCCGCCAACTACAACATTAAACCGGTTTAATGAACTAAACTCTGTTAAAAATTAGATGCAACTTAAATCCGAAAGCCCGAGCCGTAAATAAGGCTCAACGACAGCTTAGACCCGAGTCGTATTTTATTGAATTTTTTAAATCGCCGGCTTAGATTTCATTTAATTTTGTTCCTAACATGTGATAATTATGTATTTTACAGGGAATTGCTACGGGAAGGTATCACGCTAGTCATCTGACCAACTCAGAAGAGTGGGAGATTAAGGAATAATATTTTATTTAAACTTAAAATGATTTGAAAGATTTTGAAAAGGGGGGGTAAATAATCAAAAACATATCTTTACTTTGATTATTAAATTTAAATAAATGTTGTTTAAAGACTGCTCTTGCTGGGAGAAATTCAGGAGACCTTTCCTTCCCTGCCGTTTACTGCCCAGAGTTACAATTCCCAGAATTCAAGTTAGTTTTCCTTACAGCTACAGACATACAAAATACAGTTATACAGCTACAGACATACAAAATACAGTTATACAGCTTCCGACTTACAAAATACAGCTATACAGCTACAGACACAAAATACAGTTATACAGCTACGGACATACAAAATACAGTTATGCAGCTACAGACATACAAAATACAGTTATACAGCTACAGACATACAAAATACAGTTTTACAGCTACAGGCATAAAAAATACATTTATACAGATACAGACATACAAAATACTGTTATACAGCTAGAGACATACAAAATACAGTTATACACTATACAGCTACATACATACAAAATACAGTTCTACAGCTACAGACATACAAAATACAGTTCTACAGCTACAGACATACAAAATTCAGTTATAAAGCTAGAGACATACAAAATACAGTTCTCCAGCTACAGACATGCAAAATACAATTATACAGCTACAACCATACAAAATACAGTTATACAAAATACAGTTATACAGCTACAGACATACAAAATACAGTTATACAGCTACAGACATACAAAATATTCGGTATTCATAGATTTTTTAACATGTTTCTTTTTTCTCTTGTAACTCCATTTATGTTTTTTTTTATCTCACTTTCTCTATTTTAAATTAATTGTTGTTATCTATTTCATTTCTCTTAAAGAAATAATAAGTTCTTAGTAATTGCCCGCCTATTGAGTGTCAAAGAATAAAGAATTCAAATTTTAAAAGTGACTCTGTTAAATTAACTATTATTTATGAAACCCGCCAATTATAAAGGGCCATGCCCTATTCACATTTCACAACCCTATCAATGAAAATTTATCTTGATCAATTATATTTCTGTAGCAAGAAATCCGCAAGCCACTTTTGTAGAGAAACCAAAGTTAAAAATTAATAATATTTAACAGAAAATCTTCTAAACCTGACAAAGCTTTTAATGACACCGTTTTGAATTTGACATGCTTATTTATAAATGTTTGGTTGCAATTGCAATTATGCCTACAGTCTCTTTAAGACTTTACGTGTCCCTTACTAGGTCCAAGGTAGCCGACATGAAGAACTCTGTGAAGAACCGTGATAACGCGCAGCCTAGTTGTGCCGGGCTTTTCATTAACGCGCACCTGGGCTTTGATTTCCCGGGCACTTGGCTTCATATCGATATGGCAAACCCGAGCGCTGAAGGTATTGTTTTAATAAATACAAAAATAATCAATTTTTTAAAAATGTTTTTATTTTGAAACAGTTTCCTGCCTTTAATAAACTAAAAAAGTGACTTATTTAAAACAACAAAATTACCACTGAAATTTTGGCCAAACAAAGATTGTTCTTTGATTTCAGGTCTTAAAAACAGTAGAAGTTGGAAATATAGAAAATTTGTTATTTTCAGTAGCATTCGCCTAATTTCAAAACAACAGTTCGCAGCATATTCGAAAATTGTAATAGTTTATATGAAATACAGTCGTTTTTTAAAATGGCTCTTTATGACTATAATAATAATGGAATTAGTAAAATTGTTCGCCTTATTGGAAATGTAAATATAACAACCCAAATTTATTGGAATTATGAACACAGCTTCAACTTAGCACAACCACTGATTGAAATAATATAGAACCATATCTTTTTTAATTGAAAAAACTTGATATGTTTATTTTTTTCTCTTAAAATTTAAAGATTATTGGGTACAAACAAAAAGACTTACAAGCAAATTAAATATTGAGAAGTTGCAAATATCGCATATTGCATCAATTTAGCAAACTTTATGTGATTTAGATGAGCGTGGAACTGGGTATGGGGTTACATTGCTCAATTGTTTATTTGGAGACAGCAGTGAGTCCAAGATTCTCCAACACCTTGCTCCAACTACAGACTCTAATAAGGTTAAATTTTAAACCATAAAATAATTCTCCTCAGCTTCGGTAAATGGTTCAGGTTTCCTTCTTTAGCTAATATAAATATGTGTTGCTTCGTGTAAACATACTTATAACATCTTAAAGAAAATCCAAAGGGGGCCGGGGGAGAACTGATATTTTTTTCGCAATTATCCTTGACTTCTGTGGATTAAATAAAGAAATTTCAAAATGCGAATAAAATATTTAGTAAAATATCTAATGCGCTAGAGCTTTAAAACTTTCCCACAAACTGACGAATATTCTACATCTCTTCAATTAACTACCCCATGACTCATTAAACCTTTTTTTAGATGTGCTAGTCAAGTTTTCAAGCCAAAGAATAAAAGACTTCAAGAAAGAAGAAGATGCAGTGGAATTAATTAATAAATTATTTTATAACCAAAAAATAATTTCCTTAAGTTCGAAATTATGATAATAAAATGTACGTTTTTACTTTAAAATTGTAATTATGTTATTTTCAGAGAAAACACTTACAATCGATGTCAAACAAAATGCAAAAAACGTGTTACATTCAGGGGCGTACGAGGGCTTTTGTTTAGGGGGGCACAATTTGCGCGCGCAAAAAATTTTTTTTTGGTCCCCCCCCCTTGGCAACATTGTGCCCCCCCCCTTAAAAAGCCCTTTTTTGAAAAAATATTAATACCTTTTTTAAATTTTTCCCCCCCCCCTCCCACCTGGACTTGTTTTGTTCACCATAAAAATACACCAAAAAGACTACATTTTTGGGTGTTACTAACCTTAGAGTCTAAATATTATTCCTTTGCTTGAAAAACTAACTTTTTGACTTTATAAATTTATCACTTAACTCCATCACAGCTAACTAAATCAATAATCACAGCATCATTAAAAATTATATTTTTACTAATAAACGAAATTTCTTCTGAAATTTATAGATAGAATATACTCAATCTACATATTCACCAACTCTTTTAAGCTACAATTTTCAGGGATTTGTTTGCAGAAACATTTTAATGATTTTTTTCAGTAGAGAGCTCAGACAGCCTTATAGGGTGTAAAGCTTTAAGTGCAAGATTGTTAAGTCTGCTCTCCGTCATAGTACATCTTGTGTAATGAAGTATTAACTTTTCTTTCCTTGTATTAACAACGAATTTAGACGAATCCTAAGTCTTTGTCATTGTCAGGTGTTACTTTCTAAACGTAGTTTCCCTTTAATTTTGTATTTTTGGAACTCCCAGGGGGGGGGGGCAAGAGGACTACTTCCCCCCCTAGGTACACCACTGTGCCTGACCTGAGGAAGGGAAATGCAAGCAGATGTAATATTAAAAGAGCCTCCCCCATGGGTGCCCCCCCCTCAGTCTCTCAGGGGGGGCAAGCGTAGAGGGTTACATTTTTAAGATCCAAATATGGAAAATATTATCTTATAATGTACTTTAATTGTGCGAGTTCCTACGATATGTTGCAGAGATTTATCCGTGCCAGTCCCTATTTATCTGAGTAAAGCTACCTTGCAGCGAGAAATCGACCAGTGCGCAGGTATTTCGCGCAGGCCCAGTATTTCAGTCCCAACCTGTCGTCTACACAGTAACAAGCCGCCTGCATATATTCGCCATATTTTTTGCATACATTTGCATCCTCACTCATATATATTGTGATGTTTTTACGGATTGTTTAAAGTATCCATGAAAGATCACATCACTGTTCTAAATTTTCACCAAAATGGAGGAGGAGGAAAGAGAAAATGTCGAATCTGGGAGTATAGGAGGGTTTGCTGAAAAGATCGCCCGTGATCTGATCAAAGAGACGATCTCTGAGACTAACTCTGTTAAAATATGGTCAATACCATGCTCTTCAGACTGTCATAATCACCCAAAACAAGAAGGTAATTTGTTATTGATAACTTAACGATGATTCATAGCTGTACAGTGTATACGAGATGGTGTATTTTTCGACCTACCTAAATCCGCTAAACTCTTCTTCTGACCTACGCCAACAGTGGCGCAACTAGGGNCGGAACGGGGGGGCTAGCCCCCCCGTTACCCCCCCTAATAACTTTCAGATTTCGCCCCCCCCTCAGAAAAGGCCTAGTTGCGCCACTGTACGCCAAATCCGCTTTACTACACATAGCACGTGGTATTACAGCTGATTTATGGACTTGTGGCCGCAGCGCCCGGCCCGCTCCATAGCCTGCCCTTATATCCGCGGCGCTCGGCCCCCTAGCCTGTCCAAGCCGCGGCGCTCGGCCCCCAACCTGTCCAGGCTTATTTTATTAACACCCGATACGATACAAGTTAAATAAACCACTTTCATGAAACTTATTTAGATTTTGAATGCATGGATAAATTATCCAAAAATCCTATTAATTTCAATTCATTTTGAAGACCCGTCTACTAGAGTGTGTAATATGTGTATGTATCTAAATTCTACATCCTTCCATGTTATTGATATTTTTTAACAATTACGGCCGATGTTCAGGTATGTTAAGCCTAAAATTATTACTAAAAATAAATCCCTAAACTTATCTCAATATGTGTATAGTGAAATTCCAGACTCGAATTTCTTTTTGATACCTCAATTTCTGAAGGTTAAAGTTAACACTTTGTGCTCATTAACTTTCAATTAGATTTTTTCTAGAATCCGTTTCAAAGACAAGACCGAACTTTGTTGTTTAGCTTATATTTTGAGTTTATATAATGTTTTGCTAGAGTTAGATAACTCATAAATTTATCTGTTTCAGGGTCTAATGGTCATAGTTCTGGTGGATCTCTGTGTTGGATTACTGAGACTTCAGAGCTGGATCCTGAACCTTCTAGCTCCGGGACCTGTTCTGCACTCAGCGCTGGAACCTGCTCCGAGAAACCCACGTTATTCTCCGACCCCGGGGATAAACTAAACCTGACGTGTTCTCCTTCTCCCAGAGAATGTTTAGAATCTGAACCCTGTAAGGAAGACAGGCCTCCCTCAATTAATTCCCATCCCGGAGACGGGACGGATCTTGTTCATCGACGGCTCAAGGTTCGGGATCAGCACAATCAACAGGAGGCTGCAGGAGCCTCAGGAGGTGCAGGACATGGATCAGAAGCTGGAGAGAAGGAAGAAGAGAAGTTTGAGTTTAGAAATAAGTCTGAAGAGAATTTAGTGTCAATTCATCGCAATGGTAAAACACAAAGGTATAATTTGATAATAGCAATTTTAACAACATTTATTTCACTTATGAGGATAAAACGTTTTTACCCGTGATCAAATAATTTGTTTCCACGTTGGGGCAGAAATCTTCGCGCTGTGAAAGTATTAAAAGATTTTAAACCAACAGCGATGAAGAACTATCTGAAATATTTCCACTTTTGATTTAAATGAACTGTGTAAAATTAAAGACACTCTAAACACGTAAGTCATTTAAATATCTGTTTCACTTCAAGATGCATTCATAAACGTCATGTTATCGAGATAATTATGGATGTGTAAACGGATTATATTTTAAACGGATTATATTTTAAATGGATTATATTTTAATTTGATTATATTTTAAACGGATTGTATTTTTAATGGATAATATTTTAAGCGGATTATATTTTAAATGGATTATATTTTAAATGGATTGTATTTTAAACGGATTATATTTTAAATGGATTATATTATAGACTGATTATGTTTTAAATGGATTATACAAACGGATAGATTATATTTTAAACGGATTACATTCTTAACAGAATGTTTTAAACGGATAATATTTTCTTAGCGGATAAACATTCTTAATGAATTATTCTTAGCGGATAACATTCTTAACGAATTATGTTCTAAATGGATTATATTTCAGTTTGCGAAAAGGATTGAGTGTTAACGATATTTCTGAGACCTCTTCCTTCAACCTACCCGGAGGCAAAGCATCATCTAAAATAAATTTATTAAAAACACTTGGACTGAAGAAACCCAAAGACGAAGTGACACAAAGATTAAGTGACGGGGAGGATAAAGTGGGAGGAGGGAATAAAATGAAAGCAATAAAGAAAACTTTAACAAACATATTTCATTTTAAACATCGTGAAACTGAACCCGGAGAGAAGAAAAGTTCTAGGTTCAAGATTCCGTCCAAGAGAAATAAATCTCTTCCTCCTTGTAAACGAGCTCTACCTCCAGTGCCTGCTGTCAGATTAGAATCCAGAACTCCTTCTCCCCTCTCCGACCTGAACCTGGAGGATGGTGAGGTTGGATGGGTTGGAGGAGTTGTTCCGGAACCAACCCAACCTGTAGCTCCGGAAGATGAGTCTCAAATGGATTTTGCAGCTTCCATCGAGAAAGTGAAAGATGTAAGTACATATAAAAAAGATAATAAATAAAGTAGCCTTGATCTTGACAGAACCAACAGAATTTATTTTTAACTTGCTCTAATTCTGCGGATATGTAAACTCTATATTTCTCATTGTCTAACCCAACGTTTTGATTAACGAAAGATGGATTATTCTACCGGCGAGAAGAATGAGTTAATTTCATTCTCTTGGTCAAAATTTCAAACAACATTTTTTTCGTGACAATTCAATTTCGCAGACGTTAGATATTTCAAAATATGAATTCTGTTAGATTCTGTTATATGGTACAATTAACTCGATTGCTAACTCATTGAAAAGTGAGAGTCTTTTTTACCTGTTTTCGATCATTTGCAAGAAGGAACTTTGCGAAATTCATTAATGGGCTTATCTTTTTTAACCACTTTTGAAATCTTTTTAAGGTTTTAATCATCTCCTCTATAAAATGTTGAAAATAATTTCAAGGGTTTGTTTTCTCAGTCCTGTCTGTAATCCTGATCTTCAGTGATAAGTGTACTGCAGTTTAATGGGAGGAATGCCAACTAGCTTATAAATGCGCAGGATGATTTTGATTTAATTTCTCTCAGAGACTGCAATACACTTTTATTCTATGAATCGTTATATTTATAGATGTATTTGAACTATCATTCACCAACAAGATGATTGTATAAAACTTTTTTCTCTAATAAACACGACTAAATAATAGATTATTATGATTAGCATGGTTGGTACTGGGGTCCATTGTCTGGAGAAACTGCTGAACGTATCCTTGCTACTGAACCTGACGGATCCTTCGTGGTGAGGGACTCCTCGGACCACCACTACATCTTTTCCCTCACCTTCAAACTCAACGGGTTCGTCAGACATGTTCGGATAGAGCACGATCAGGGTAAGTCAAATATATTTTTATTTATAAATAAAATGAAATAAGGCTGGATATGATTGTTTAATGAAGCGAAAAATTCAATTTCAAACTCAATTTTTAAAAAAATTCAAAGACTTTTTCATGCCTCTTTTCTATTTGGTTTTTAAGTTGAATAAAAAAAGAGTAGTATGTACGAATCACAAAGTTACCTTTCAAACCAAACTCGATTTGAGTAACAATGGAGAAAGGATAAATTCGTTTTTTTCTGAAAAAATGATAATTCCAGAAATGTCCTTCTTTGCATCTGCAGCAAAATTCCGTACTTCTCTTCTACAGAGCTTTCACAATTTAAAAAAAGGTTCGATATAAATTAAGGATATTGTATTCGAACTTTTTAAAGGGTATCCTTGTGAATCGGGCATTCCACTCTTCAAGTGGAGGGCTACTGGAAATTGTGTCGTAAAGTCCCATTAAAAAATACTAGAATAGTTTGCCTAAGTAAATAAAGTAATCTAAATTCTTATACGTGTCCAAGAATAGTTATGATGATGAACAATGAACATGCTAAAATGTCAGAATAAATCCAGAATTAAATAATAGTGAAATAAATCCAGAATCGCTTTTCTTTTTCTTAAAATGGTAACTATGCGAAATCAAAGCAATATAACTATAGCAGTGCTTAGGATCCGGATGCGTTGGATCCGCAAGATTTTCGCTTCCTGGATCCGGATCCGCAAAAATATGCGGATCCACGGATCCAGATCCAAGGGGTAAAATATCGACCAAAAACTACAAAAACAACTTTTTTACTCCTAAAACCCAATTCTGAACTTTTGAAAAAAAAGAAGGATTATAAAAATTTTCTCATTTCTGAATGGTTCATCAAGTTTTAGGATAAAAACAAGCGAAAAAAAAATTTTATAATTATTTTTTGTTAAAAAAATTCAGTAAATTTTAAAGAAATGACCTGGATCCGGATCCATTTTTTTCAATGCGGATCCAGGATCCGGATCCGCATCAAATTTAAATGGATCCTAAGCACTGAACAATAGTAGAGGAAAAGTTTTTAAAATAATTTTTTTCCCAGGAAACTTTAGTTTTGGTAGTTTTACCAAGTTCAAGAGCAACACCATTGTCGACTTCATCGAGAACGCCGTGGAACATTCTAGATCCGGGAGATTTCTTTTCTTTCTTCATCGGAGACCGGTATGATAAGTATTTGAAATTGGGGATACAAAAGGAGCTCGTAGTTCAAGGAACTTTTTTAGCATTTTAAATATTTAAGTTTAAAAATGATTTTACTTAATATTTAATTTTTTTGTCGATTTTTTTTATATAGTTTATGGTTGAATTAGAGATAGTATACATACACAAATTGTTAAAGCCTTGCCAGTTAAAGTTCCACTTCTCTTGTTGTTTTTTTTACCTTAAAATATTAAATATTATAAAAATTATGTTTTGATGTTTAGGTTTTGGGTCCCATGCGGGTTCAATTACTCCATCCTGTCTCAAGGTTTAAACGTGTTCAAAGTCTTCAGCATCTTTGCAGGTTAGTCCCCCTTTTACCTGTTATTGGTGGATAATGTTCACTTTCCCCCCGGCCTGGTATTGCCGATTGGATTTTGATTCACAAAGAAAGATGAATTTGATCGAATTGATTATAAGTGTATTTTGTCGGAATATTTAATTTTATTAAACATTTTTTAAGTTATTTCTCTCTATTGACCTAAATTTTAAACGTATGTTTCTTGGTTTATGGTTTTATTGTTAAGCTTTAGATTTAGACTTAAATTTGATTTTTTCGTAAATTTAAAATGCTTTGATTCATTTCGATTAAAAGCTTTATTTTATCATTCTTTAATATAATAGTTTTGTGTATGACGCAAAAGAATTTTCTTGTTTTTCTTGTTTTTTTTTTGCAAACTTCAGTGCATAGAATGCAAAGAACGCGACATTTAATAAGGTGTTGAGATATTTGTTACGTAAAAGGACAAAGATATAATTAATATCTAAGATATTACTCGGAGTACAGAGAAGAAGCTAAAAAACTGAGTTAGGTTTTCAAACATTTTAATGTAAATTTTCCTCAACTCGCATTGAGAAATGAGAATGCTATTCTTGGAATTTAGAATATTTTAACAATTTTTCTAAATCTGGAATAATTAAGAGAAAGTGTTGAATTTAGAACTCCGCTATCAAAGTGGACAGATAATCCCAAAAAATATTTTTAATTTTAATGCGGATCCGGAATCCGGATCTTTTCCTGAGTCATCAGATGCGGAACCGGATCCGCGGAGCGCATGCGAAGGACTATCTGAAAATAATGATAATATTTTGTAGATATGTGATCGTGAAACATGTCCGAAGGGATCACCTCGATGATTTACCAGTGCCAAATAGAATAAAACAATACCTCAATACCCCCTTCTACTACTCGGAACAGGTGATTTAAAAAAAATTAAAAATCATTACCACTCTTTTAAATAATATTTTTTATTTTTATTCGCTAAACTGGAGAAAATTAATGATTTTTATGGGTAAAAAGTATGTAATAGGAGGAAAACGTACATTTTTCAATGCCTGTGAGAGAAAAATGTTGAAAATAAAGAATATAAATAACTGATTTACTTTAGACAACTGAAAATTGACAACGACAAAAATTTCAGAATTTGACTTTTAATTCCATGTTTCAGGTTGAAGAGGAGGAAGAGGAGGACGCTCTGCAGCAGCAGCTTGCTGACCGGGAAAACGTTGACATCCTCGACTTTCAACCCGACCTAGACCACCCAATGCCGGAGCTTGATACTCAGGAGAGAACTTCCAACCAGGAGCAAGACCTAGTCTCCGAACCTGAAAATTTATAACCAAACCCTGCTGAAGCATTTAGTTCGGTTGAGTACCCTGAGCAGCCCTGAACCTGGAGCAGTATCCAACCCTGCAACACCATCCAGTAATCCTGGATCTTTTATATTAAGTTCTCCTCAGCCAAACCGCAACAGCACCCCTCTGAATTTCTAAACTCATGTAACTCCCATTAATTGACACAATTATTAGTGTCCTTGCAGTACAAATATTTACAATGATAACTTAATTTAGAATGCCCTTGGATCCTATAATGATTGTTTATTTTTTATTATTCTTTTTTGAAATTCTCCATTTAACTTCCTCTGCCTTACACCTTGCCTTGCCTTCCCCTCAAAAAACTATGCATTTTTATAAAATGAAACTTTTTAAAATGAATCCCGAGATTTTTCAACCTTTTAACTAATATCCTTCACAGTACACAAGTCGTAGTTAGAATTACTTAGATGAATTAATCACAGTAAATCAAGCACTATCGTAGGAGGTAGACTTCTGGTCTTGGGCGTTAAATTCCTTGTTGTTTCCTTATTTATCCTTTTGCCCTTTTTCTTTAGCATTCCTTTTCTAGCTATTATCCTGGTTTAAAATTTGGCACAAAAACATCACATAAAGAGCTTAGACTAATCATGTTAAAAGAATGTCGGAGAATTATCGGAGATGACCAATACTTGGTCTCTACTCTAGTCAGATTACACAAATAAACTTAAACCCATGTACCCTTCCTCTTACATGCTACGTTCATCTTATGTATCGTACTTCATGTTTGTATGGGTTTTATAAACTTGGTGAGTTTTCTACTTTCTATGACACCATAGTTAAATTTCATATTTTTTATCTTGTTTTCAAATTGTCTTGTTTCGGTTAAAGTGACATTCTATATATGTATCCCAGTCTTGATATCTCTCAACACTATTAACAACATATGTAGCCTGTTTACCAATCTAAGTACAGAGTAAAGCAAAAAAATCGTGACAATATTTTTTTAAGTCTAAAATTTAGCTTTGTTTCGTTCAAATATTTTCTTGGTTGGTACATTTTTTTTTACTTTCTCATTCTTTTGATTGTAATGTTTTACATATAGTTCTCCGTTATTGAATGTATTTTGTGCTAATGTCTAGAGCTTGCTTTTTATATCTTTCTGTTTTTGTTTATTTTTTTTCTCATGGATTATTTGTGATATTTAAACAAGTATCTGTAAACTGGATTAGAAATATCTGTATTACATTCTATGATCTAAATTTTAGAGATAGCAAGATGGATTTGGAAATGAAACAGATCGGAGTGGGTCTAGGAAAGAAAGCTAATTAATCTTCACAAACAGCAAAAAATATTTGGTTTCAACGTTTTCGTAACTCTGTATCCAGATCTTGCTATAAAATTTAATCTTTAAACGTTTTTCTCTTGCAGTTCATTCTATTTTGAATCTCAAAAAATCTTAGGGAATTTAGATTTTTCCATAAAAGTGAAATTCATATTTTTTTTAGATTGTTCCTTTAAATTGGAATTCATAATCATTAGTAAAAAACAAACACCAATACTGCAAGCTTTAACTCAAAATCTTGTTATGACTGGGGGACGAGATTTTGAGACGACAGTAAAAAATTTATGCATGTCTGTTGCCTTTATTCATTATTCCCTGGAACTGCATGTTTCTTGTTTCTTTAACCTTGGGATAGTAATCTTTCAAGAGTTATTGGTCATCTTTACAGTCTCATCCTTTGTGGCTAACCTTTTATAATGTTTCAATGGCTAAAATTGCTTTGGTTAACACAATGCAGCTTGAACACTGAACAGTGTATACTGTGCCATAAGGTCTCCACACATGATTACTAATTTGAAAAAATGGCGCGTGCAATGAGCGCGGTAACCTTTCCCATTGCCTTATATACTGAAAGTAATTCCTGAAAATTTTAGGTTAAGTTTTAAAAAGTGTTTAAGAGAGTAGAAATAAAAATTTTATGAATTTATGATGTTAAAGATTAATATCCTCGTTTTAAATCATTGAACTCAGATCCGTTGAAATTTTTGAACAAATTTTAAAATTAAATGAGGTAAAAAAGCCCCGTCTAAAATGCTTGTTTTTTAGAAAAGCACATTTTTAGCGGATTTTTGGGTGTCTGTATAACTAAGTCAATTGTTGCAATTTTTTTTTTAAATTTCAACGGATTTTATATTTCTGGACAGAAACGAAGAAAATAATTTACATTTTGCGACATGATAAATTCAAGAAAAAATATTTTGGAGCTGTGAAGTGTGTTGGTCTTTTTCAAACTTAGCAGCAATTATATTCTTGAGTTATATGGATATTGAGCTAAAAATCCTGACTAGATTAGTGTAATTCTTGAACTAGAAACTGCTCTGCGTGCTCTAGCTCTTGTGCAGAGTGAACCCAGGAACCCTGATACTGAAGAACAGATCAACGTTCTCAAGGTACTCAAGCTTATTGTCCATATCGTTAATAATAAATAAATGATTTATAAAAGCTCTTCGCTCACATATTATAGCGTTATTATAGCTGGTCATACCCATGGGTATATCTAGAGGTGACCTGAGCTAAAACTTTTATGAGACTTCAGAGAGCACTGTCCTTTTTCTATTATTCATGATTCCCCGCAACTATAAACTTGTTTCTTTCTTTGATTAAAAGACTACTTAAGGCTAAAGACTTAATTTAACCTATGAATCGTCATATTTACAGTGTTTCAGCTCGTCTTTACAGTATCATCCTTCGTGGGTAACTCCGTATACTAAATGTATGTAATAAAATGAGTTTTTAAAAATATTTTTTTTTAATAATTCTTGGATTTGAAATAGGAATGTTCAAGATTAAAATTTAGTTTGTGATTTTATATTTGGCGTTGTTAAATGGATCTGCTTTTAATATTTAGAAACGGCGAAATTAAAATATTTAAATTTTAAGTATCAATTCCTACAAGATATTTCAAAATTTTCATCGATTGAATTTTATTAGATTTTTGAAATAAAAAAATCTTGGATTTGAATTTCCTAGAAAGTAATTAAGAACTACGTAATTGCTGAGAGAGAACATACTGCTAACAAAGCTGCATTGGCTGAACTCAGAGAGAAAATAAGGTGCAAACTATTATTTTTATATTTCTAATATTATTCCTGTCCTGCGGCAGCCATGAGCTCCAACCGTATGATCTTCCATGCCATGAGCATTTGAGTTTTCAGGCAGTTATTACGTTTTTAAATAATAAATTTAGTGCATTGAAATTGTGATTTGAAATATCCAGCGACGTAATGCAAAAGATATATATAAAAAAACTCAAAGTTTCTAAAACTAAATTTATAGAATTTGGTCCAAATAACAAAAAGATTAATCTTACAATTTGTCGTTATCAATAGGTGGGGAAATAATAGAAAGAATAGGAAATGACTGCCCAACCGAAAACAATTTGTTTCGGTGCCCACAATGCATTAAATGATGCGAAAGTTTTTTCTTATATGTACTATGTTTTAGGGCGCTTCGAGCACATTTTTTAATTCAATTAAGAAAATTTTCTCTTTGTATACATTGTGTTAAGAGTTCTCTTCAAGGTTTACTAAGGTAAAGGTTTAAATCTCTAGTTAAAAGTGCTCTTCAAGGTTTACTAAGGTAAAGGTTTAAATCTCTAGTTAAGAGTGCTCTTCAAGGATAACAAAGAAAATGTTAGAAAACTTATAGAATGTCTTACACAATTTTTAGTCAAATGGAAATAGATTTTTTAGTTCTTGAAATAACCAGATCGGAAAATTAGATAAAACTGTGGGTTAATGATCTCAGTCTCAGAAGAAATTAAAGGATTCTTCTTTTTTCTAGGAAGGAAGACCACGAGTTTATACAGAGGATGAATGCTCTGACAGGAAACAAGCCGGTCAGGTTTAATTACAGGGTGTTCCAATAAACATCGGAATTAAATGACGACATCTCTTTTTTAAATATTGATTAGATTTTTTTAGAGGATTTATCTGAAACTGAAATCATAACAATTTTCAAGAATACGTTTTTAATGACTTTTTTGTTTGGCGATTTTAAAAGTTATTTTTACGTATAGGGTAGCGCAGGAGGTGATGCTGAGAATTCTGATGAAGAATTGGATGTAACACAGGTCAATTTTTTTTGCTTTTGCAAAGGGTTTCCAGAAAGTTTATGCTGTCTTTTAGTTACTTATAATAAAAAGCATTAAAAATGGCATGTTTTTACCAAGTATGCAAAGAACCCAAAGATATTGTAGATGTTTGATTTTAAACAATATTCATTTTAATTTAACTAACAGAGTTGGTTATTATTGGATTGGAAATGTATTTTATATACATAGGTTGAAATTATTGAATTAGAGCTTATGTACTGTAATTGTCGGTTCAACTACTTCTTATGCGCTGCCAGTCTCAACTTGAGTTAGTTGCATCCAATTGAACTACCTTTATATATTTATAAAATAGAAACTCAGGTTGAGAGAAGCACTGTTTGTCCGATCAGTAAGAGTGAGATGGTTAATCCTGTGAAGCATATTCCCTGCGGACATGTTTATGATAAGGTAGAGTACCTCAGAATATGTATTATATAGAGAATCAGTTGCAGTATTCCCTGCGGACATGTTTACGATAAGATAGAGTACCTCAGAATATGTATTATATAGAGAATCAGTTGCAGTATTCCCTGCGGACATGTTTACGATAAGATAGAGTACCTCAGGATATGTATTGATTTAGAGTAACAGTTTACATTATTTCCTGTGGCACAGCCTGAGAATATGTATTATATAGATTAATTGTTTACATTATTTGGTTTGGGAAATGTTAGATGGGAGGGTTGTAAAGCATTACATGATTAATGTAGTCAGGAATTGAGGTTTAGAGGCTTGATTTCCGGCTACCGGATTTGAAAATGTTTTATTTTTATTTAAGAAGAGAACAAAAAATCCATCATCCTTTATTTGGATTACATATTTATAAATGTCTGTATATTGTTTACATAATGCCAGTACTCCTAAAATGAAAATTATAAATTTTCTTTAAATTCATTCATTTTCCTCCTTTGAAAATATTTCTTTTCTCCAGAATTTAGATTTTATTCAGGGTTTTTATTCATTAAAATATCGTTATGGTAAATAAATGATATAAAGGAGAAAAAAGAGATTTTTTTTCATGGAATTTTAGATAAATTTTGTTTAAAAGTATCATTGAAAATCATCCCCCCCTGAAATTCTGATGTGTAAATTGTCCTATTAGACTGAGCAGTGCACGTGAACAGTTTGCTAAAAAAAATCAATGATCAAATCCTTTGAAGGACTATATAAAAAAGCCTTATAATATTCTTTTTTATTCTTTAGGAGAGTATAGCTGCCCTGATGAAGAACTCGGGAAAGAAAAGGTATTTTCGTAAATTCTTTTGGCACTATACATTATATGTACAATAAACATACAATGTACGTCGGGATTCCATGGTGCAACTAAACTCCTGGTTTGAAGAAAAGGATTATTCTGCACTGCAGTAGTTCACTCTGCTAATTGTACTTACAGATTGTGACAAGAGCTCATTTTAACAATGCTCAAACTCTCAGAAGTCTGAATGATTTTATTTTATTATTTCAATCTCTATTTTACTTTTCACAGACAAGTGTAGAAATTTTTTATTGATATCTTTTCGATTTATCATAAAGCAATTTTCATTTGGGAAAATAAGANGAGATGGATTCGACACTGAAGGACTTGAGATCCGTTTTATAACATATAAAGTTTTTAGATTTTTAAGAAGCTCCTCAATAGTCTGAGATGTATATATCCTACCTCAAAATTGCATGCTATATATGTTTGCTTTGTTACATTATGCAAAATTTTGTCTCTTGCCAGAGTATAATCACAAAAACGATTTTTCAAAACGATTATTAAAATCGTTTTTCATTTTCCATAAAAAATATAATTTTTCATTGTGTTAAATTACTATAAGCATCTTTTTGGAGCACTTTAAACGCCAGAAAATTCTAAATGTCTCAAAATCGACCTCAAAACGATCTCCCATTAGAAGCCCTGTCGAGGGGAATTTTAAGGGAAGGTGTATAAGTATAAGTAAAAGTGTGAAGACGTTTTTAAATAGCGGACTGATCTTTTTTGTTTCTAGATGTTTCTGCCCTATGATTGGATGTCCTTATCCTAATCCTATCCAACGAACTGATCTGGTTCTTGACACAGATCTTCTCAAGTTCATCAGGAAGAAACAAACTCAGTAGAAACTGGAGACGACCTTGTTTTTCGTTGGACATTTGCTAAATAGACTATTTCATTTTCAATTGCGTCCACCGCTGATATTTTAAAAATATTTGTAAAATAATTGGACATTTTTAATCTGAAATTTTTTGTAATGAAAACAATGAGTTGGATACCTGATTTGAACTATACTTCCGTTTGAACTATTGTTCATTAGAACTATAGTTTAAATGAACAAAAAGATAACTCAAATATAGTATGATATAAACTCGTTTGAACTACTTTTTGTTGGAATTACTCAAATGTGGTACCACGTCCAGTAGTTCAAACGGACCATAGTTCAATGAACAGTAGTTCAAACGGGAGTAGTTCAAACAGGATAGCATCCAACAAAGACGATTTGAAAACAAAAATACGCAATGATTGCGCGTATCCTCTAGGTTTCGTGATTTTTTCTAAACCGGTTCAAATTAACGAGATCTACTTTTGAAAACCAATCGTAAAACAGACGATATGTTGATTTTTCGACAATTTTTATTTGTGAAAATTTGCTCAATTTTTGACAGTTCATCTAAAATTTAATTTCCGAATTTTGATATGATTTCAAATACCGTGGTTTTTGTTTTGATTAAGAATTAACGGGCTCGCACTGATATGCGCACTTGACGAAAATGTGTTCTTTTTATCATTTTTCGCGCAGGAACAATACTGTGTTGGTTTGAACAAAACATTTAGTTTAGAATAATTGTCGATGCATAAATTGTTTGTGTTTTTCAGAGTTGTGAACTTGTAAAGATGGCTTTCTAAGATTGGAGTTTCTTCTGTTCAGGAATTTAGCGGATATTGTATAAGGTGTAGATTTATAGTAATTCGAAATATCAATGATTATAGTTTTATGTTGAGAATCGAGAATTTTATGTAGAAGTAACAAATAAAAATCTTAACCTAGATGCGTCCATCTAACCCTTATATAGTATTAAAACGATTCTCGATGAATTAAGTTACCTTAGAAGAATATTGGTAATTTTCTAGAGAACGCTTTTTGGTCCTCCCCCCCCCCCCCCCC